GTGACAGAGTGGAAAGGGGGGGGGGGGCTAAACTTGTCATTTTTTTGCGTGACGTAATTTGCGAACTACCCCTAAGACTAGATTATCTCCCATGTTTAGCCTGTTTTAGTTTTAAATTTAGTTTTTGTAAATGTATAGTCGGCCTTTTAAACAGATTTTTTTTTAAAAATAAAAAGTTTGGTCAGGGATATAAATATAGAGCAGTCATAGTCAAAATATCCAAACTCGATTGCCTTATATCACAATGGGAATATCCTAAGGACTTTTCCATAAAGAAATATCAGTGAACCATAACCGGTATTCAACATTTTTTTATACGTTGATTATTCTCTTTAAATACCTTAATATTACCCGAGTCCTGATAAAGACAACACAGAACTGGGACGTGGGGATTCTGGGCGTAGGGCTGCCCCCTTATGCATGGTCAACGGCTAAACGACAGTTTAGATAATGTGTCAATGGAATGTTGTTAGTGAAAGAAGGGCCCTGCAGTTAAGCCTGCGACCGCGAACAATCTTCCTATCACAAAAATAATTTAATAATTTAAAAATCGGGTATCCCCGGACTATGGCAACGAAAAAGCGTTTTGATCACACGTGCGTCAAAACAAACGCGTTAAAATCTCTAGAAAGCCAGAACGAGGCCAACACTTATTTAGATACGTTATAATGCGTAGACGTTCGCGTGACACCTTATCGTTCTGACCTCATTCATGGCTCAGGTCATCTGTGACAAGATGAACTACCCGGCGATATAAACGAAACAGGCTGACAACAGATGTAGGCATCAGAGGGGATTTTTCAATAAGAGATGACATGGTTCATGGTGATCTGACACTGACAGGCCTTAAGTCATGTTGATCTGACAGGCCTAAGTAGGGGCTGATTTAACACTGACAGACATAAGTCAGTCATGCTGATCTAAGCTGGGGTAGTTTGTAAGAATTATTATATGGGGTGGTCTTTGAAAATGTTATATAACGTTACAAGGGGTAGGGGTGGGTTAAAAAAATTCATTTGTGTGTGTTATATTACATGTGCTCGACCCCTTCTCACTACAGAGGCCAAGAGAGAGAGAGAGAGAGAGAGAGAGAGCACAGTCAGTATATAAATATAACATGGTAACTGCGCTACCCATCATTGGATTAACGACATTGACTTGGGAGAGCACCACGAATGGGTTATGATGCGACCAAGCAACAGACCGTTTCTTCCAATCACGTGTCAATCTGCCCGCCACTGTTATTATCGATTTGTCACACACAAAAATACAGCAGATTTCACCGAGAGTATAACGACGGGTGGTAACATACCCCAGAGCACGGAGCGGAGGGGGGGGGTTAAAAGGGAGGGGGGAGGTTATGAGAACCCGACAGCGGGAGAAAATAATCAATAAACTTGTGCTCACCAGAACTGGCGGGAGTAGAACGGGCAGGCAGACGATGCCAGGACGCTGCAAGCCAAAACGCTGGGGGTCCGTGTGTGGGGGACACACGAGCTACAGCGACGGTCCTGGGGGTTCCTTCCAACAAGCCGTCTCCGTGTGTGTGTATGTGTGTGTGACGACAAGTCTTGTTGCTGGTGTCAAGAAAGTTCCCGATGTGAAATGTTTTTTCCCCCCGTGTTGACAACAATCGCCTCGACAAATTTAGTCAATGGCATAGCCATCCGGGGAAAACCGTCACCACGATGAAATAGACTCTCACCACGATAAAATAGACTCTCACCACATCTGTGAAACTGAAAAACGCAATAACGATCACTGGAGCTTTGGAAAAGAGGAAGTTCAATTCAAACGTTTTGTAAAAGAGACACCATTGTGACATTTCCACGACGGCATACCACTCTCAGGACTGAAACGGTGACAACGTTACTGAGAGCTGTGTTCGAGTGTATTCTTGGTCGTGACAGCGGCGGTGCGCGGTGTCAGCAGCGGCGCTAGTAGCTGGTTTATCAAGTGGTGCTATAAAGAGCGACTTGTGTAATTTTTACAAACAAACAAAATCGATATCTACAAAAGACAGAATATGGTGCTGGTGTATTTCTGATGATTTCAATCTGTGAGAATTGACAAGTGATTTTAAGTCTCATTGCATGATCGTGAATAAATTAAAAGTTATTTGGTCTGTATCATTCAATGAAAGCAGTTACTAGTCCATTTGGTTTGTACCATTCAATGAAAGAAGTTACAAGACGTACGTTTGTGACCTGATGGGATATGTGTACCACTCACTAAATTTAAGACGTTTTAGCACTTGACAATATAACTCTCGAAGAGGAAAGATTCCTTCAAAGAGTGACGCCGAAACTAAGCTGACCACCAATCTAAGGCTGACCTCATTTACGCTGACCACCAACATTAACATGGCGGAGGCCAGCGTAGTCGTGAAGAAAGAGTCCCCAAAGAAAAAGAAGAAGTCCAGCCACTCGACTTCTTCAGATACCCAAGGTCCGGCCACGGACGCTGGGATGACCATGGCGTCCTCCAGGCTGGACAACGAAGGGGAGGAGGCGGCAGACTATCAGATCGTGGCCGCCATCGACTTTGGGACAACCTTCAGTGGATACGCCTACAGCTTTGCTTCTAACAAACAGGCCATCCACGTCAACAAGAACTGGGGTCAAACGCAGGGTGAGTAAATGGGGTCAAACACGAGGTGAGTAAATGGGGTCAAACGCAGGGTGAGTAAATGGGGTCAAACACGAGGTGAGTAAATGGGGTCAAACGCAGGGTGAGTAAATGGGGTCAAATGCAAGGTGAGTAAATGGGGTCAAATGCAGGGTGAGTAAATGGGGTCAAACACGAGGTGAGTAAATGGGGTCAAACGCAGGGAGAGTAAATGGGGTCAAACACGCGGTGAGTAAATGGGGTCAAACGCAGGGTGAGTAAATGGGGTCAAACACGAGGTGAGTAAATGGGGTCAAACGCAGGGTGAGTAAATGGGGTCAAATGCAGGGTGAGTAAATGGGGTCAAATGCAGGGTGAGTAAATGGGGTCAAACACGAGGTGAGTAAATGGGGTCAAACGCAAGGTGAGTAAATGGGGTCAAACGCAGGGTGAGTAAATGGGGACAAAAGCAGGGTGAGTAAATGGGGTCAAACGCAAGGTGAGTAAATGCGGGCAAATAGGTGAGTAAATGGGGTCAAACGCAGGGTGAGTAAATGGGGTCAAACGCAGGGTGAGTAAATGGGGTCAAATGCAGGGTGAGTAAATGGGGTCAAACACAAGGTGAGTAAATGGGGTCAAACACGAGGTGAGTAAATGGGGTCAAATGCAGGGTGAGTAAATGGGGTCAAACGCAAGGTGAGTAAATGGGGTCAAACGCAAGGTGAGTAAATGGGGTCAAACGCAAGGTGAGTAAATGGAGTCAAACGCAGGGTGAATAAATTGGGGTCAAACGCAGGGTGAGAATTCAAGGTAAAATCATCACGAAAATAACATTGTTAAATTCATGGGCAGCAAATCATACGGCAAACCTTACTTTGAATCATCCCTTCAGGTTTCCTGCTTCACAAGACTCCAACATGTCTGCTGCTCAAGTCTGATGGACAGTTTGAAGCCTTTGGGTTTGAGGCTGTGTCCAAATACAATGAGCTGTCTGAAGATGAGGCTTGCTCCTATTATTACTTTGACAGGTTTAAAATGAAACTGTACAACAACAAGGTAAGTGGTACCAGCGTGGGACTATAGTGTTCCCGGTAACTAGATGATACTATCATGGGACTATAGTGTTCTCGGTAACTAGATGATACTATCATGGGACTATAGTGTTCCCGGTAACTAGATGATACTATCATGGGACTATAGTGTTCCTGGTAACCAGATGATGCCAGCATGAGACTATAGTGTTCATGGTAACTAGAAGATACTATCATGGGACTAGTGTTCCTGGTAACTAGATGATACTATCATGGGACTATAGTGTTCATGGTAACTAGATGATACTATCATGGGACTATAGTGTTCCTGGTAACCAGATGATACCAGCATGGGACTATAGTGTTCATATAACTAGATGATGCCATAATAGAGTCACATACCCCTCTGTCACTTTTCACAACATATAAAACATAATAAATATCTCAACTCAAAACTGTACAACACTGGTATTCACTTGGGTGGTGGGGTGGTGGAGTGGTGGGACGCTGCACCCTCCCCCCCCCCCCTACATACAGTGACCATTGCCCCATCTCAGAAAAAGTTTGTTTTTTTCCCTCTAGTAAAAATGTGAAAACTCTTTGTTTCCCTGTTCCTACTTTTTTGTTATCGAGTAAACATAATAAATATCTCAACTCAAAACTGTACAACACTGGTATTCACTTGGGTGGTGGGGTGGTGGAGTGGTGGGACGCTGCACCCTCCCCCCCCCCCTACATACAGTGACCATTGCCCCATCTCAGAAAAAGTTTGTTTTTTTCCCTCTAGTAAAAATGTGAAAACTCTTTGTTTCCCTGTTCCTACTTTTTTGTTATCGAGACGATTGATCATGAGTTCGTAGATGGGTAAAACACAATGTGGTGCACATATCCAATTTTCCTCGACACTCAATTAGCATGCTGCTATTTTACAAGAATGCTCACAAATCTACTTGTCATATCTCAAACCTCTCTAAAGTAATCCATCTATATTTCTCTAACAGTAGAAGCTGAGGCCTTTACAAAGTAAACAAGCTTGTAAAGTCGCATGGACTCTGTCATCTACTGCTGGACAAGTTACATTGACAGCAATCATGCTGGTCAAGTTACATTGACAGCACTCATGCTGGTCAAGTTCTCGGCATCCTTCCGTCTCGTGAGACGATGGTGCATCACCGTTGGGTTGGGTTGCATTTTCTCGAGTGGCTGTGCAGTCCTATCCTTGAGTGACAGTCTTTACCACAGTTTTTACACACGAGTTCCATGCTTCTAAATGTTTTGGCCTTTCTCCTAGCTCTTCTGTCTGCAGCCTCTTCCATTCTTCGCTCCTCGTCTACCATGACGCCCTCTTTGACAACTGTGCACCACGTAGATCGGTCTTCTGCCTTACACTCCCAGTCACTTGTATTTATTTTGGCTGCTTTAATGTCCCTTTGACAGACATCTTTAAATCGTAGACGTGGGCGACCTGTTTTCCTCTTTCCCGAAGCAAGTTCACCATGTAGGAGGTCTTTCGGAATGCGGCCGGGACTCATTCTTTGAACATGACCTAGCCATCTCAGGCGTCTTTCACTAAGGATTGTGAACATGCTTTGGGTATTCGCACGCATTAGGACCTCACTATTAGTCACTTTTTCTTGCCATTTGATACCAAGGATGCGACACAGGCATCTCATATGGAAGCTATTAAGCTTGCGCTCTTGGGATGTATAGGTGGTCCATGTCTCGCTCCCGTATAGTAGTGTACTGATGACACAAGCTCGATAGACGCACAGTTTGGTTTTCTCCGTTAGCTTGGTGTTTTGCCAGACCCGTTTATTTAGTTTAGCCATTGTGGCAGCTGCCTTGCCGATTCTGCTGTTAATTTCTTCTTCAATGGTCAAGTTACATTGACAACAATCATGCTGGTCAAGTTACATTGACACCAATCATGCTGGTCAAGTTACATTGACACCAATCATGCTGGTCAAGTTACATTGCCACCGATCATGCTGGTCAAGTTATATTGACAACAATCATGCTGGTTAAGTTACATGGACACCAATCATGCTGGTCAAGTTACATGGACACCAATCATGCTGGTCAATCTTATTTTCCCAGAAATTTTTACAAAATGGATGGAGACAAATTTTGTATCTTTTTCAGAACCCCAGCCAAAATTTATTTTGACGTCAACAAATACAAAACTAATTATCACTATTTTTTTTCTATTGACCAGCAACTGACCACCGATATCCTGATCAATGATGCTAATGGTAAATCCCAGCCAGCTGTAGATGTATTTGCACACTCCCTGACCTTCATGAAAAAGCACCTACTGCGTGCCATTGGAACCCACCTTGGCTATGATCCCCACCCTGACACCGTGAGGTGGGTCCTGACAGTCCCAGCCATATGGGATGAGAACGCCAAGCAGTTTATGAGGGAGGCGGCTCACAAAGTGAGTACTGGTATTGGTAACTTATGTAAGGGCGGTGGAGGTAAATGTCCGCCCCCCCCCCCTCCACTCTTGTTAAATCACAGATGGGTCACTGAACATCCACATGTTTCCTGTCATATAAGTAACATATGTGATTAATGTGAAATTTCTATGTAACCCATCTTATATTGATTGACAGAAACAACAAAGATATTTATTCAGTGAATATAAAAAGTAATTTTTAAGTATGCCTATAAATCTGGAACCCTGCCAAGGTCTCATTACATTCTGGGTTCACGTTAAAGGCCTTATTGGGGTCAACTTTAAACATATTAATTGAACATGTTGATACTGTGACAAGTAAGACAATGTGCAGGCCGAAATCTTAGAATCATATCAAAATGTCTGCCATATCATCCTACAGGGAGGTCTCATTGACAAACCAAACAGTGAGCAGCTAGTGATAGCCTTGGAGCCTGAGGCAGCCTCCTTGCATTGCCGCAATCTGCCAGCCACAGATTTCATTGGATATAAGGACAGTGCCTTGTCTAAGCCAAGCTTTGAGCCAGGGACAAAATATTTAGTGGTTGATGCTGGAGGTATTTTATCAAATAAAAATTATGTAACTATTTTTAAAGCTATTTCTAGAGGAAAGCGTTAGATGTTTATCTACCACAAAAATGCCTCCCTCATTAAGATTTGATTGAATTTTGAAGAATTTTAACACAATCAATGGTAGACAGGAATTAATAGAATTTAAAAGCCCTATTTAAAATTTACAGCATCATATCAAAAATATAAATTTTACTCAACAAGACAAAAACAATGCCATACTATGCAAATTAAATAGTTTTTTTTTTAACTGTATGATAATGAACCATGTTATATTTGTATTGCTCAATATAAAATACATTTTATTTTAATTACTACCACTTCTGTATTATAAATAAATCTGCAGATCTGAAGTATTTAGAGATCTGTTTAAAGCGGGGTTGGTCAAACTGCAGTTCCTAAGCTGCACTTTACACAAGCTTTTAAGACATGTCGTACTAAACAGTGTTAAATGATGATATTTATGGCTACTAAAATATGTGCAGTTATATAGGACATTTTTTTAAAGTGCTAAAATAAGCTACCAGGCCACCATGAAAGTAAATCATTAAAATATTATGTCTCTTTTCATATAAATGAAAAGCTGTAATATTCCACACATTCATCCATTTCTGACTTACCATGAATATTTTCTTCACGTTATCTTTAACAGGTGGCACTATTGATTGCGTTGCACACAAAATCCGCAAAGATAAAAGAATTCGGGAGTTGTTCCGTGCCACTGGTGGAGCTTGGGGCGGTACGATCATCGATCGTCAATTTCAGAACCTTCTGGAGAGCATTTTTGGGGCAGAGTTCATTGCAGCCTTCCAGAGGGAATACCCTAAAGACTTTGTGGAACTGCTGCAGGACTTTGAGATAAAGAAACGAGGCGAGTGTGAAAGCATTCGCGTGTCCCTTCCCTATAACTTCTGCAACTATAAGCATGATGGGGTGTCAGTCCAACAGGCTATCAAAAATTTTTCAGCAGAGAAAGAAAGCAGTGACATAAAATTTTCTTCAGGAAAGCTGGTGCTGTCCTCAACACAAGTGAACGTATTGTTCAAAGACGCCTTGGACCAAATAAATGATCACGTGCAGGCTCTTTTACACAAGCCCAAGTGTAAAGATCTACAGAACATTTTCTTGGTTGGAGGGTTTGCAGAATCGACACGTCTGCAGTCATCCCTGAGAGAACGGTTCGGAGAACGTGTAACCATACTTGTGCCCGAAGAAGCTAGTTTATCTGTTGTGAAGGGCGCGGTGGCATTTGGACACGATCCCAGCGCCATCTGTCAGAGAATCTGCAGGTTTACCTACGGCGTTGGCAGTTACCTCCCATTTGAGGAAGGTGTCCATCGAGATGACCTTCGCGTCAACTCTGACGGCATGGATCTGTGCAAACATATATTTCAGACGTGGGCAGAGGCAGGGGAGGTAATTGGCCACAATGAGATTTGGCGGGAGACATACACCCCCATCATTAACAATCAGAGAGGCATAATCTTTGAATTTTTCCGTTCGTCTAGCAAGAAGGTGCAATACACGGATGAGCCTGGTGTGGAGAAATGTGGTTTTCTTGTGGTTGAGATGCCTGACCCAACTGGTGGACGTGACCGGGCAGTTGACCTCGAGGTCATCTTTGGTGGTACAGAGATAAAGGTTGTGGGCTATGACCACACCAGTACAACAAGACATGAAACCTACATTGACTTTTTGTCAACTTAATATTGTATTTTGACTTATTACATTTTTCACTGCAAACTTTTGAAGCCTTTTAAATACTTACTGAAGCCAAGGTCAAGTAGCACCAATTTATTTTAGCTATTGAATGGTTGTGAAAACTTTGTGCCCAAGAGATTTCACTTGTTTATTTTTGAAATTGTTTTATATTGAGGAGTGATGTCCCTTACAAATGAAAAAAAAGGTGTCATCTGATATTTAGGAGTGACTTCCCCTTATCTAGTTATCTCACGCTAACTCACCCACAAAGCTCTAGCAGTGAAACTGTCCAATCCATCTGTGACCACAGGTCGTTAGGACAATAGCGTCTTATAATTTTTGTATTTGTGGTGGGGGAAATCCGATTCTGCAAAATAAAAGTTGAGTTGAAAACATCTTTAAGAGCTGGTAGGAAATAGGGGGTGGAGATTGCATAAATGATTTTAGATTGCTGCAACATCTCAATCTCAATAACAGCTGCAAAATCTCAATAACAGCTGCAAAATCTCAATAACGACTACAAAATCTCAATAACGGAGGCACCTTTTTTTTTACCATATGCCATAGAACATAGCACAGTTGGTAAAGAAGCACACTTTATAGTCTTAGGAAGCCAAAATACCCACTTACATATTAAATGTTATTTTGAGAATAGCATGGAATAGTAAATTTGCCCCAACTTCTTGGACTGATGACTATAAATGGAATGATCATGTGCAACCAAGATAAATAAACAATGCTCTACAGTGCTGAAAAGCACTGTTCAAAACTGCCTTCAAACTTTATATTGTAAGATCTTTCCATGTTTTCTCTTATGAACTTTTTTTGCTGGTTTAGAGGTGTATATTTAGTTTGTGTTCGTCATGGTGCTTTGTTTGCTAAAGATTGAATGTAGAATACTCAATGTTTCACCTGGTCCTAGGTTAGACTAACAGCACAGCAGTTATTTTTTTTACAAGCCATGTAGAAAGTACAAGGTTTTGGTTGAGGTCTCAGGCCTCAGGATAAGTTATTTAACATGGACAAATCACATGAAGTACACGTGTCAAGCTACAATTTGGGCCCTAGCTTAGACAACATTTTGGCACCCTTAAGGAAAATTGTGAATATTAATAGTTGGAGAGGCGCACTTACTTAATTGGAATCAAAGGTTTAATTTTTAAAACCTAAGGAAAATCTCATCGAAAGTGAAATAAATGAAATATTTGTCATAAAAAGTGGAGTTGAATATTCTTTTATATCCTATGTTTTGAAAAAGTGTTGAAATATAAAAAAAATTAATAATTTAAGGCTATAATCGTGAGTTACCCTAGGTGATACAAACTACATTTATAACACTAGAGAGAGCCTATATGTGTCTTCTATATTACTTCAGTTTGATAATGCCATGAAATATTGTGTTCAGAAAATGCAGACTAGCTCGAATCCAACCTGTTATGATATAATGATTTATGATAAACAAAAAAAGATTGAAATAGTAGCCATTAATTATGCTAAATACAATTATCTTATTGGATATTTTGTTAAATTTATAAAAATACTTAAATGTACAGTGCTACATGACCAATTAATGATGGAGCTACAGTTCTGCTAAATGAACAATCAGCTCTAAAAAAATACCAAAAAGTAGATTCTGCCAAAATACAGTAGAAACTTTACTGAAGTTGGACATAATTAACATAATACATGTACTGCATGAGATAATCAAAATGATAAGACCAACTATGGAACCTTGCACATGATTTACTAGAAAATTCCATAAAAAAATATTATCTAAATTTGCTAATGACCTTAAACAGCATGAGTCTCTGTAATATGCATTACAATCATACATGACCTAAATTTTAAAAAGTGTATTTTTTTAATGGATAAAAGTAAGAATAAGATTTGTAAACAAAGTTAACATTTCAAGATGGAGATGGATCATGGAGACAAAGGCAGTTCTAAAACATTTGTACAATTACCTTAATAAATTTCCCATAAAGATATCCTAGATGGAGAGGCACACAAATAAAAGATAATTTTTTTCAATAAAACATTTTTAAAAGATTGGCAATATTATCTAAATTTAGTTGGAGATCTTATTATTGAATTTCTGATGCGTTTTCATAAATTATTATTGCAGACATTTTCTTCCTCTGTATGCTTGTACTGGGGAGGTATTGGGGGAGTTACACTTGGCGATCTGCTGCAAGGTGTGAGTCCTCCTGAAGATTCATTTTTGGACTTTGAGGATGCCATTACAATTATCTACCACCGGAATGATCTTCCTCTGGTTTAAAAACCAAAATGCATGCTATCATCGGCTTGCAATGCAGGTTGATGGACAGGCATTCTGAACAGACGGTCAAACCAATTTTTTTGCTTTGGCTGATTAGTATAGCACCAACCATTTCACAAGCTGCTTGCCTTAAACTTCTAATTATCATAGCTGGAGTCCAAAAAGATATTCAACTCTGAAAACAGAAAATCGGAAGGCCACACATGACTGTTTCAATATTACTTTTTGAAAATTGGGGTTGCATTATAATGTTTCAAACCATATAACCTGTTGAGAAAAAAAACAACATCAATTGGGTCTCATGACTTGTTAAAACTCCACACTTAATTAACTGATTTACAACAAACATTAAATCCAACTTTTGGTATAATTTTTTTTTTAAATAATGCCGTATTTGTTGCTGAGCACCTGCAGAATTTAGAAGCCGTCACATGGAATTTTATATTGGATTTAAAATTTGAAATCCACAAACACTATTGGAAAATGGAAAAGTAGTGAAGATGATCATCTTTCTTTTTTTAATATTGTGGATGTATGAAGATGATCTTTTAAAACGAAACTGTCACAGGTAAGAACTCAATTGCCTTCAATCCCTTGGCAAGAGTATTGAACATTAAGTTTGTCTGAACCTCCTTCAAACTTGAAAATATGGGGTCATCTCTTCTGACAAGTTGCTATTATAACAGTTAACTCATAAAGTAACAAATAGGTTAATAAATAATAAATCTGACAAGATAAGATAGGTGATATAAAATTATTTTATTGATCCAAACAATAAGAAATTTGTTTAGATTACATTGTGCAGATTTATTTTCAGCTTTTTAAATACAAGCTGACATTTAAAAAAACATTCTGATTAACTTCACTACTTTAAACTAGGACATTAATTATTTTAATATACGCCTAAGACAATGTTAAAGTTATTTTTCAAACTCAAAAAAAGAATTCTTAAACCTGAAAGATCAGACTTGTTAAGAATATAAAAATCACAGGGAAACAATATCTAAACATATTTTACCAAAATTGAATAGGAAATATTTTCTTTTAGAAGTGTTACATACAGCTTGAAAAATTGCTGTGTTTATGTATAGAATTAATAGTTGGAGTCAGGGTAGAAAAATAGTAAATGGTGAGCTATTGGCATGACATGATTATGGAATCTTCTGCTGTCAGTTTCTAGGTCTACACAACTATTTCCTGTTTGCATCCTGTTAATTACATTAGAAGTTTCATTCTACTGTCAAATATGTGAGGTTCTGAGTATTGATTTACAGATGTCACCACAAGATATAAATGAGACAATTCCTCTCACCAGTAGTACAGAACATAAATATTAATATATATTTGTAATTGAGAGATTATTCAAAAGTTTGTCTGCTATCAAGAGGCAAATAATATGATTTAACAATAGGCCTACTGTGGATAAATATAAAGATACAAATCACACACCTGATAAGTTAAGTCACCAGATAGATTTGCTTATTTCAGTTACCAGTATATGAATTTGTAGTTGCAAGGAAATGAGATCCCTTTTTATTAAGGGTCAACCATAAATAATGTCAAGCATCGGGTGAGAAAATTGGGGGGGGGGGGGTTTATCTGGGATGTTGGGTAATGAAAGTGTTTAACCTTTTTTACACATTTGTGACAACTTGTGGGTAAAAGGGGGTGGAAAAAAAATCAGCACAAACAGTTTGACATTATCGGGTGAGAAAATTGGGGGGGGGGGGTCTATATGGGATGATGGGTAATGAAAGTGTTTAACCTTTTATACACATTTGTGACCACTTGTGGGTAAAAGGGGGTGGAAAAAAAATCAGCCAAAACAGTTTGACATCATTTTCTAAAGTTGGCCCCAATTTCTTCACTTTCTACTTTGGTATTAAGATTAACTCTATTAAAATACATATTGGCAGATGCAAGTAATGACGATTTCCAAACTCCTCTGAGTTAGAAGAGTAGGGCTGGATGACACTGTTAAATTTCTTATGATAATAACAGTGACGATAATGGTAAGATAATGTCAGCATAAATAATAAATAGGCTCATGTGAAACATGCCTCATGATCATAAAAAAACAAAAAGAGTCCCTCCATGATGTGACGACATTAGCTGTATGTAGCCTAACGATATTATAATAAATTAGTCAGCTTAAGTTCTCATTGTTGAAACAATCACATATAATCATAATATGTCCGTAAAATTTTGCTTGCCCATGAAATTTTGGAGATTTGGAAAATTCAAAAGGTGTCTGTAAATTTAACTTATTGATTTGGCTACTCAGTACCTGGTTAAAAGTAGTAAAAAAAAAAAACGTTTAAAGAAAAGGAGTGGAACTGAAGCCACTGAACTTGACTGAAGGCTGGGGAGTTCAAATATTTTTTGTTAGATTTAATATTAATAACTTATAATAATTCAATGTGAAGCATTGGATTGTTATGAAAATGATTACGTCTAGTACGATATAATTTTATTATTAAAATTTACCTGGCTTGTATACATAAAATGCTTAGCTAGAAACCAAAATGTTGTGTCATAAAAGAAGACAGTTATTTTTTTAGATGAAAATTTGACTTTGACGACTTTCTAAACAAATCTGTTAGCCTGCTGGAATTATTAACATTCTCTCAGAACTCAGATATCATTTTGTAAATAATTCAAATAATAATTTTAATTGTAGTAAGTGAAAGTCTGAAAGGGGAATCTGAAACCAAATTGCCATTAAAAATTGTTTTTGCTCTATTAAATAAACTATCAAACTCTAATGTAATATTTTTAAATTTAAAAAATCGAAAAATTGAATATCAGTTTTCTAAAAGCAATATTTCAAATTATAATTATTTTATATAAAAATTACAAAATAAAAAAGCCCAAAAGGCAATATAGCAATTAGCAGCTTCCGTTAAAAATGAAAACATTAGCGACGAATAAAGATAAAGAGTAAGGGCTAAAATATATGTTACAGTTACATTAAGGTTACAGGATATCGGATTTCTTTATTTTTTAAGTAAGAAATATGAACTAATTTTTAATTGGGGATGTGCTACTGTGGCTACAATTGAAAATGTATTCATTTAATGTGGCATAAATCACTGAATAAATTGGTTTTATGCGTGACTTTGTAGTTGTTTTGATGCACAGCTGACATCCAAATAACAAAATATAAACAAATATGGCGACTAGTGCTTACAGTCTTGAGGCAAGCGGAGGGAAAGATGAAAATCTTGAAAGAATGTTCAAAAATTTCACATTTAAGTGCTTACAAGTGATTGTTCAGTCTCGATTAGAAAACAAGATTAAACGGACGAATAAAGAGACATCATCTGCTGATTATGTAAGTTTATTTAGGCTATTTAATATTTATTAGTTTAGATTTAGAAAATATAAAATTATGAATTTAATTAATGATTATGATTTTCATGTCAGTTAATTCAGCTGTCTGAGAATAGATATTCACTTAAAAACTAAGAGTAAATTCATCTTAGTAATATCCCTTAGTTTGTGGAAAGCACTTTACAGCCCACTACTACTATTAGTCAACTAGACTTACTCAGTAAATGAAAATGAAAATGTATCCACCACCAACCAAAGACATAATTCACTTCAAACCATCATAATATTAATAAATTCCTGTTCACACGAAACATCAATAATTTAGTAATTGGGTATAATTAACCATATAAGACCTAATTTATTGCAACAATTTTGACTTTATATAATAATAATAATAAAGTTCATTTCAAAAACACGCTTCATCCCCAAAGGCTCGAAGCGCGGTACAAAGTCAACAAAAAACAAATCTATAATTTACCACATTTAAAACAAACGCAACACTACAAAAACTAATTACAAGCATACAATGGCAAAGTCTTTCTAGCCATTTCAACCATAAGCAACACAGCAATTATGCATTAACTGGAAAATAAGGTAGGCAATCATCCCAGAAGGTGTTTGCGAAATAGATGTGTCTTTAAATCGGTTTTAAAGGACTCCTGTGTCTGGTTGTTTCTGAGATCGACAGGTAGAGCGTTCCAAATTGTTGGACCAGCAAATGCGAAAGTGCGCTTTCCGTAAGTCTCAAGGCAAACACGTGGTGTCGAGAGTTTGCCACTATCGGATGAGGGGAGCTCTCTAGTGGGTACATAAGGCGTCAGCAGCTCTTTCAGATAGGATGGATTTAATCTGCCGTCATATAATAATTTAGCCAATTAATTTTAACAACTCATCCCCTGGCTCATTCAGATAGCCAACTGCAGAACCCTTTCAGTTATAGTTATAGATATAATGAATAAAACACTATTTTGGAGAAAAAGAAAAAATCCCCCCACCACCCCATTTTTTCACTGTTTGTAAAAATTTTTCATAAAAAATTTTTTCCCTTTGCCCCCCCCCCCCCCTTTTTTTTTCCCCATCCCCACATCGTTTTATAAGCCTGTTGTCATTTTTGAATGTATCGGGTTCCCTCTGATTTTCAAAGTTTAGCTTATGCGTTATTTTTTAAAATATATTTTTTCAACAGTTCTGCATCACTATCCCTGATAATCAAACAATAGAGGAGCAAATCAGAAAAGTTTTGGATGGTGTACGGTCTTTTCCTGTGAAAGAGCAAAGTGTATGTGTAGAGATTCCCCTTGTGACCAATGATGGAGATCACATGTTTTTGGAGACATGGGACATAAGTTTTAACCTGAGTAGTTTGGACACGACTGCTAACAAGTTGCAACATGTCTTCACTCGAATGTGTACGTTATATATAATGATTCGTAATATTCTTGAATATTAAGTTCTATATTGATTTGTTTATTTCTGGATCTGTTAAAGTGTGTTTCATTACAGCACAATGTTTTAAAGCAGCAAAACAAATTTTTAATTCTTCCTTTTATAGGTGTGACATTAAAGTCTTTACTTTGTGCTACACGTGCAATGCCTGCTTTCAAGTTAGCTAGAAATCAGGGTGAAAAAGGTGGAGGATATAAGCTCAACTACAGATTTTACTTGGGCAAACCACAGGTTTTGTTCCATTTTGTTTTATTTTAATGTAGATTTAACATTAGACACATTACAATCTTAGACAGTCAGCATTAATTTTTACCTATCTTTGACACGGCTGTGAGAAAATAATGTGTTTAAGAATGGTTTGAACTAGAAAGTTTAACAACCAATGTTGCTAAGCCAATAGACAATTTTAACTTCTAAAACATTTTCTCCCAATTTCAGACTCACTATTTAGGTGAAGGTTTCCGCACAGTTAAGGCTGGTGCGGTGCCAACAGCTCAGGGCCTTCTTGCAATCAATGCATCATTCCGCACTAAACTTCTCCTCTCCCCGGAAATGTCTGCTTCTGCCAGGATAGCCATTGAGATGACTGATGACTACTTTGTCAATGACTCCAGAGCTGCATCTGCACCCCCGACTCTCTCTGACCCTCAGCCATGTTCACCTTCACAGAGAAGGTTAGACTTGATTTAATTTTTCACCTTTATATAGGGAATGAGTTTATGGATAGCTTTCATTCAATTTATTCCAGTTAATAACACAAGAAAGTGAAACTTAATAAGTTTTGTTAATTTTAATCATGATCTCATTTACAGCCAATATTTGACAATGTGAAAATTATAACTTTATTTGCTATAATTATTATTTTTAAATTTATATTGAAAGCACTTAAAATGATTTGCTTTTTGAATTTGTAATATGCTGATTCATGAGTGTCAAATCTGTCTTTTTCACAAAATGAACAAAAAAGTTAAGTTCTCATTGATTTGTCTTTTTTTTTTTACCAGCCCTGTAACTAGGTCAGAAAGTCCATACTATTTTGCTGTCTCCCCTGGCTCACTGGAGAAAGAAAATTGTGAACTCAGGGCTAGGCTAGTCTCTGAATCCACCCCTTGGTGTCAGACAAGGTAAGTTTGTCGTACAAAAGAAATATGTTAGGTTATAAACAATTATGATCAATTGAGCACAGATTTAGGATGCATAGTTTATACAGGTATAAAATAACATTTGGAATAGCTGATCTCATAATTCATAATGAGCTTGGATTTCTAGAGAATGTAATTTTAAAAAATTCTTTGTCAAATATAATCTTTACTTTCACTATTTTTTTTTTTTTTCAATATTTTTTTTTTCCAATTCATTAATTTTAACATTCAATTATAAATACTGACTTAAAGAAGGGTAATTAAATAAAAATTTGGTCAATTCATAATTCATAATGAGCTTGGATTTCTAGAGAATGTAATTTTAAAAAATTCTTTGTCAAATATAATCTTTACTTTCACTATTTTTTTTTTTTTTCAATATTTTTTTTTTCCAATTCATTAATTGTAACATTCAATTATAAATACTGACTTAAAGAAGGGTAATTCAATAAAAATTTGGTCAAGTGTTTTAACATTTTCTCGTTATATTTTCAGCATTTTAAATTTAGAAGAGCTACCTGAGCCTATTGTGGGGGCCTTTTCTGTCCAAAAGCCTGGCCACCGCAAAGTGTTTGATCACAAAATACCATTTGAAGGCTTGATGAAGAGGAGCATGATAGCCCGACAAGAGCAGCAAAAGGCAGCACAGGCCAGGATGTCTTCAGAAGAAGGAGACAGTGATGTTGATGGGAATGCAAGATGTAAAAAGGACACAAAAGCTAAAAATAAGGAAAATGAAAACAAAAACATTCCTTCTTCAGTTTTGGATGGACACAGTGGACAGAAAATGTCTTTAGAAGAAGAATTTGTAATGGTTGATGTGAGTTATATTTTTTTAATTACAGCTATATCTGGATAATCTACTGTGGAGAAGTTAAAGTTATTAACTGTTATTGGAATGGTGGTTAGGGCACATGACTTCTAAATTCATCAATTTTCTTATTTGTAACTGAATAGGAAAAGGATAAACCTAAATGAGTAATTTAGAGGGTGATGGCATTTGATAATATATATGTATATATATACCAATATAATATATATATATAAATGCAAGGTATTGCCTCACCACCCTCCACTCCGTACCCACTCCCAAATTGAACCCACCTCTCCCACAATTCTTTCCCTTCACGTTTCTCCACCAACTCCTAAGACCTTACATTTAAACCTTCTTCTCCTAGACAACATCTTCACCAGCATATATCCCGTTCTCCGTCTGTGCTCTCACCTTTAAAAACAAGTGGCTTCTCCCCACCACCCTTACCCCATCCCACCAAAAGACCCACTTATTAATACATTTTTTTTTTAATTTGGAGATATTGAAATGAAGAAAAATAAGATGACTCATTCAAAATCTGTTACTTTGGGGCACCTGTACATTACTGTCTACTGAATGCCAATATATTGCCAGATCTTTGCTTAACGATATTTAAAAGCTTTTTTAAAATATCACAGAATTTGAGTAACGGTAATGATGTATTGAGATTAGAAATAAAACTGTAATTGGTAAAATAATTATTACTTAAATTATTTTTAAAAACTTTGGTAATTCACTCTATTAATACCGTAAATATTTTAAAGAAATTTTTAATTCTTTGCTATTATAATGCATAGTCTAATATAAATGCGAAAATCTTTAAATTTATTTTTAATTATAATTTTATCACAGAAACCTCCCTTTGCTGCTGATAATGATCCAAGAGATGTAAAAGCATTTCTTGACGTCTTCTTCCGTGCTCCCAAGACATATGAGGCCCATGAATGTAAAATCTCAGTGGAGGATTACCTGAACGATGTGGAGGCTTTGGTTTCAAGGCTGGAAGAAGATATGCCAGTACTGGATGACTTCTGTCAGTCTGTCATACTCAACAGTCAAGAGGAGAATGATGAGAATCCATTGTTTAGTTGATATTTGCTGTGACTTATGGGATCAAAAGGATGGTTGAATTGTTTGAAGCTTTAGTGCATGATTTGAGTGACTGAGTTAGTGTGAGGGCATTCATGATTCAGGTGCTAATAGCACCAGAAAGTTCTAGTATTAGTAGAGAACCTTAACAAGTTGTTCAGTGACATCACCTGCCGAACATTGAACCTGCTTGTAGGAACCATTTGTACTGAATCATTAAATTCAGAATTGGATAGTTTAAAAAAAAAAAAATCAGTATTAAATATCTTATTTAATTTTCCAACAAATACAAACTTTTGGCTCCTTGGCTCACAGGTTGTGGACCTCTAAGTCTAAACTAATGTTGGGAAACAGAACATAAACCACCAGAGTTTTCATTACAAAATTATGTGTATCTGTCATGTTGTGTACCACTGCCCCACACAAAGGTAGAAAATTATTCAATAAATTTGAAAGAAAATGTACGTCTGTATTATTGAAATAAAATAATTTTTTTAATGTAAGCAGGGTATACTATAAATGTATCCTCTAATTCTTGTTCAGTGGATGAACTGTATTATACAACTATGTGTATAAATAATTATTAGCAAGAGCAGGATTTTTCAAAAGGCATTTAATTTGGATAAGAAGGGGAAAGTCTTTTAGACCCATTCAAGATGTTGCAAGGTCAAACATGGCCTTAACCCAGTACTCGCAGCATGTAGGATGTTGATCAGAGAGGTTTGCCATTGCTGACATCACATAAAAATACATCTTAGGTCATTGTTAATGAAGAAGTGGTGCAGAGTCAACATTGATAACTCTAATAAATCTATCATATGTTTAAGGGGTTTAGAAATGAGCTATAGTTGCAATACTAGAAATTTCCAATATGTCTCCTTCTTGTCACACAGACATAGAAAGATGAGGTGACAGAGCTAGATAATAGAATTAGATCCCTCAGCACCTGGATTGTTTTGAGGCGCGATACTGGATTGGTGATATTTTGGAGGTGAAATGATGTAGTCATTACACATTTTAATGATATAAACATGATTGTTATTTACTGCTTTAAATGTGTGTATTACTGTATATCGGTGCTTTATTGTTAAGCTGAATGTTAAGTATGATGTGCAGTGCAGTAAATGTCCTCTTCTGTTATCTATCATCAAACTCCAGTCATTCCAACATTGAATTAACTATTTCATATTGCATTCACCTGCATCCTCTTTGTGAGAGGATTTAATTCACTTTAAAATAATGATTTATTTTTTGTGGGTTCGAAATATTTTTTATTGCGAAAGAACTCGATGTATTATCTATTTTTATGAATATCAATACTGTCTCACCAAGCAGTTTGATTTTCAATGAGTTAATTATTTCATATCCATATTCACTATTTTAAAAAAGTAGGTTTTTAACTAATTAATACACCAACAAAGATTTCTAAAAATATAATTACCTCTAATTATAGTTACATGAAATCTTGAGTTTATCACTTTATTATTTTTTCAAGATCTGATGTTCTAATATGATGCATCATTTTGTCAGTGAATTTTAATTTAATGCTGGTGTATTTTTTAAAAATTGGTACCGGTGAGCTAAAGGAAATACAGTTTTGCAAATATGAAGAAACTATGAAGAAAAATATGAAGTGTAACTCATTTTTGTCTTTAGTATAGTAGAAATTCAACTATACTAAGTTACTAATGTTTGTAATATATTTTATTTAATAAGATTGTGTACATAAGGATACATTGTGTTAAAGATAAAGGTTACAACCATTTTTGAGTCCCTGCACAATATGGTGTTGATGTCTATACAAACTGAAGATCAGATAAATTTGATGCATTTAAGTTGTTAAGCTTGTAAGATTAATTTTGTAATATCTTTTGTTTTCTCTGGTCAGTTTGGGGTGGCACCTGACCAGTCAGGGTGTTCAATGAGCTATTTCATTGGTCCTGGAGTTCATAAATAAGCTTTCTCTCCATTAACATAAATCATAGTGTCAGAAAAAATATTAGAGTGGTGAATGTACATTTCTAATATCCATTATAATTAATTCTGTAGGAAAGGTTTATATTCTCACAACTTTCATGTGTGGCTCTAAATCTGAGCTATAGAATACAATGGGTGGGCAGCCTTTTTGTGGAGAGGGAAATTAATTATTTTCTAGGCAGACTGCATGATAATTTTCAAGTAATCTGGATTTCTAGATTTAATATATGAATATATGTCATTGAAGATGGGCTTCCAAAATACACTCTTAGTTCGTTCAGTTTGAAAATATGCATTGGAATTATTTTTTAAATACTTTTTGATTATTAATATTAAAATTTAACAAACTTACTCTGTGGTTATTTAGTTTCAAAAGCTTTTACAGATAAACATTATCAATTTATACATTTTTACAAAAAAAACATTAATCCATGTCACGGTCAGATCGCGTGAGTTTTTTGTGTCAACTTCTATAATGTTAATTTGACCAATCGTGGGTGAGTTTATTTTCCCCGTGTGCCCCACGAGTTTTTATTTTTTCTCGGTCAAGGTATGACCGGTGTGCTGTGTTAGAAAAAAACCACGTGTGTGAGTTGAGTTTTTAAGGAGTGAACAGTGGCGAGTGCTGTGGATATGGTGTATGATTTCTGTCTTGTGAAAGGCAGTGAGTTTTTCTACGATGGAAGAGGACTTGTGTAACTTTAACTGTTTTGTGTAGTGGCATATAGGCACACATTGTCACGTTGTCTAGGGGTTGGTCCCCTCTGTACTAGCCACAGAACAATTTTTCAAGGGTCTAGAACCCCTTTATTTCCAGCTCCTACAGAGCTGACTCTTGCTTGCTCCAAGTATCAACAAACAATTCAGGGTTTCAGGTTTTCTTATTTATTGGCTATGTGTGCCTATATGCCACTACACAAAACAGTTAAAGTTACACAAGTCCTCTTCCATCGTAGAAAAACTCACTGCCTTTCACAAGACAGAAATCATACACCATATCCACAGCACTCGCCACTGTTCACTCCTTAAAAACTCAACTCACACACGTGGTTTTTTTCTAACACAGCACACCGGCCATACCTTGACCGAGAAAAAATAAAAACTCGTGGGGCACACGGGGAAAATAAACTCACCCACGATTGGTCAAATTAACATTATAGAAGTTGACACAAAAAACTCACGCGATCTGACCGTGACAATCCAGTTCCCAGAAGGTCTTGCAGGCTGGGCTCAAAGCTTTAGGTGGCCGCATGTGACCTGGGGACCATAGGTTGCCCGCCCCTGGTATACTAGGTTCTGTTACATCATTTTTACTTTTTTTATATATAGATAATGAAAATATTTCACATTATTTTTATTATTTTTAACCTCTTTGACAATCTTAATGCACAACTTACCGCACCTATTTTTAAAAAATGCATTGCTCTGCCATGACATGATGAGAATAGGGACCCGCAGTTGGTATGTTAATCTACGTAACATATCTAATATAGAAACTAGGGTTGCATCGATTAGCAAATTTGTCAATTACTACTTATTTAGTCAATAACAATTAATTGGCTGCTGATTAATTATGAACTGTTAAGCTGAAAATGCCTTCTGTATTTATGCATTATAGGTGATTCGTTAAAGCATCTCATAATTTATCATTATTAGTAGTAATAAAAATCTCTTATTTTATTTTCCTGGAGTAAAGGCTACACATAATTATGAAATTAATCATAAGAAATAGCAATAAGTGCTACTCTTCACACCAGAACATTTGAACCTTTCGTCTAGACCAGGAAATAAGCCTCTGATCACCACTATGACAGGTGGAGCCTCATCTGCAAATGAAGGCTATTTTGAATCAACCAGTTACATGGCTAAAAGTTTGCCATGTTTTTCCCAGGTGTAGGAGGTGAGGTCAGAGGGAGAGATCCGCTGCATATATTAAATATGGCTTAAGCTTTTTTGTGATGTATATTTTTTAACATTTTGTCAGGCGTCACAAAATGAAGCTACTTCATTCTCACTATCGCTTACACCAAAGGGTGACGTCGTTTAAGTGTCCATGAAAAAGTTGAGGGGTAAAGTAGCACCCAGGAAAACTGCCCATCATACACGTAGCCTTTTTGGTGATAAATTATGTTAAAATTTTCATTGTTCTAAAAAAGAAATCGTATATAGTGCCAGCAATGGCATACCTTGATTAAATGCAGCTCGGGGCAAACTCCCAAACATGCAACATTTATATAATGTTAAAAATAAACCCCAAAAGTGTCACCTTGATCTGTCGCCCCTTTGTACCCCCTGGATTCGCCACTGAGTACTAGTAACTAAAGGATGATGTTACTGCACCACTCCCATACTGGCTAAGTTGTTTGTACGCATAGTTCTAATAACTTAGTTACAAATATAAAAAGTGACCATAAGACACACATTTATCTAAGTATCATCGTTTAAACATTGCATTGGCCACCTCACAAAAAGAAAAAAATAATTAATTAGGCAGTAAATGGGCAGGGAGATGTATGATTGTAAGCTTTGAGACTTGGAAACAGCGTATTTAATAAAATGTTTGATAAATTCACATTAAAATGAGCACATTTTTACTTAAACTATAAGAGATAAGTCTAATATTTTCAATTAACCAATTAATCAGTCAGAAAAGGCCAATTACTGATTAATCGGTAAAAAGAAGATTAGGCCAATTACAGATTATCTGCTAATTAATCGGTGCAACCCTAATAGTAATAGTATAAAAACTAGGGCTGACCCAGATGCAGTTTATTTACATCAGGTCGGGATATTTTGAGATAATACCCGCAAGGTCCGGGTCTGGGTATTATTAAAAATTCAGTTATCGTCACATTTCCTTTAATGTGTTCAACCCAATAGGGAGAAGTGGAAAAGTCCATTTATAGAACCAGTAGCAATTACGAAGGTATCAAAACACCAATAGCTTAATAATATAATCCTAACCTAGCGGTTCTCAACCATTTTTAGTGGGACTACCTCTTTAAACCTCTTTTATTACATTGGCCAATTTTGGGGCAACCCTCAACCAGAATTGTACCCTGAAACTGAGAAACAAGTGTTGAGAAGGGGGGAGCGGCAGAGCCTTTTTGTAGATAAAAAGTTGATGGTACTATAATTATAATTTTCATCATGGGCGAAGGAAGGCAGAAATAAGGGCTAAAAAGGTTGGGGGGTACTGTAGAGAGGGCTCTGTCATTCAATCCACAGAATACTTTTGATCAATTCACACACCTCATTATAGCTTCCTGTGGAAACTTTTAAGTTTAGGCGCATGCAAAAAATTCAACAAAAAAGAAAAAAACAACAAAAAACAAATTGAAATCATATATTTAAAATATGATAGAAACTGCAACAAAAAAAAAGAATAATTGTACATTTTATGCACAAAAACACGTCAGTTGATCCCTAGGGGTCAGGACCAATGTTCCCTCTAAGGTTTGTTGGTTCGTGTGCAAAATCATACAGTTGTGTGCAAAGTTTTACAGCATCAATTTGTTTGTGTGAAAAATGTTACAGCTCACAAACAAAAACACACTTTTACATGGAAATTTGCTGCGCGGATACTCAAAACTGCCGCGCAGCGTCTGTGAGATAGCTGCGCAGCCACGCAGCTTAAAGGGAATGTTGGTCAGGACCCATAGTTTGAAAAACACTACCATAACCCATAAGCATAATAAAAATTCAACGTTGGGGTTTAAAAAAAATGTTTAAGGTTAGTTTTCATTTTTCTAATACCAACTAACGCATACTATTTTAATAAATATTTATATCATCATGGTGATACCATCCAAGCCATCCTTCCAATTATAAAACTTACAATCTTTCTCTCCATTTAGATATAAATTTAATATTGTCATCTGGTTGAAGAAAGGGACAGCTTGATACAGTAACTCTTATTAACATTATTTTTGCAGGACTTTGGAGAAAATATTTTTATAATGGGCCCAACCAAGGTGGGTCATTGTATTGTTAAAAAAATATTATACATTCACATGAGTTCTTGTAATAATTTAAGTAAATAAAGTAGACAAAAATATGCTCATGGATGGATTACACCTTTTTTATTCGCAAATAATTCAAAAAGATTTTGGTGTAAAAACAAATATTTTCCCCAAAAGTTTTCAACAGCGGCCTTTTATATTCGACCTTAACCTTATCATTTTGTGACCTGGAATAGCCAATTCCAAAACTTGATTCAAAACTGAATTTTATGAGTCTTATTTATGAAATTTAATATATTACTATAAAAATGTTGGTACAGTGCACCAAAATAAATTTTTACAAAAAACCAGTGCATGGCAAAGAGGTTAAAGAAAATATTTCTTACAAAATGTCATTTAAATTGCAGCATTTAAAAAATTAATTTTGTAAATACAATTGTCTTCTCTCTCTTTTATCAACAGGACAAAATGCCACAAATTACTATAGAGAATTTAACCATTCTTGGCCTAATGAATTTATGATAAAAGACTTGTCATCCATTTGTATATTTTTCAGCTGATTTACTATTTATATGAATGTGTGTTTATGTGCAAATTTCCTTACAGCCCAAGAGCCCTGTTGACTCATGTCATAAGTTGTTTAAAGCGAGATTTGAGCAAGTATAAATATACCAGCCATCAATGGTTTAATGAATGAACAATCGAAATAATTTTTTGAAATGGAAGAAGAAATATACAACTCAGATTTGTTTTAAAATGGACTCATCATAGCTATGATCGTTATCTGTTACATTATGAACTGCCATTAAATGGAGTCAGTGTATTTTAATTAATGTGCTTGGAAAGCTATGGGCGTTTTAATTTTAAGAGTTCATTGTAGTTGCTACTTTTTTAAAAAATAACATTATTAATGATTATTGTAAATTTCTAAAAGGTTCATTTTGAAGGATAAATAATAAATATACACAATTGGGCTTCTGGAAAATGTACTTTTTAAAAAAAAATTCCTAATGATTTTAAAGAAACTCACAAGTCAGTAAGGTTTCTAAATATATCCAATTTTAATAAATATTAATGGCAGGAATGGGAACTGAAGATTACAATTTTGTTTCATAAAAATATTGTTTCCTTATTTGTATATAAATTGATGGAGATTTATTTAAATAATCTTATTTTATGTAAATGCCTACATTTATTCCAATAAGTTTGTTTAAATTGATTTTTTAAAATTTTAAAAAAATAATGATATGGGAGAAATCAAAATCTATTTCATGTTGTTTTTTTTTTAAATTATTGCTTAAAATTAATGTGTCTGTTGTTATTAACAGCAGAGAAATGTGATGGTTGTTTAATTATCAATTATCGCAGAAAATAAAATAATATCAAAAGCCATCTTTTTAAAGATTTTAAAATTATTTTCATTTAAATGTTTATATTTCTAATTTTAGTAAAATGAATGAGTATAGTTAATATATGCCTAACTATTAATTTTTTTAAAATGTACAGACTTATTCTTTGTTTTCTTAAGTGCTTTTTTCGGGTTTTCAAATACCTTATTATTATTTCACATATTTCCTTCTATCTAAAATCTAAACTGATTGCATTCTCTCCCCCTTATTATTACATGACTTATGAGTATTATAATCTGAACAATGGGATTAATTACATTTAAACTTAAATTAAGGGAGTTAATTCAGTTTAACAATTATAAGTTAAGGGAATTAATTCAGTTCAAACCAGGATTGTATTTTGGGAGAATTAATTTAGTTAAATGAACTGAGTGTAGTGCAAAGGTGAAAATGGTTTTTAAATTTAAATTATTACTTAATGAAAGTTTGGCAAAAATCAAGGTCCGTAGACTGTAGAAAACTTTTTTTTTAAATGTATCTGTTCTCCTTTATACTAGAATGGGACTGATCAAGTAGGTACAGTATCGATTTATGGTATCAGAGATTTTTATGTTTCTGTGTTTGTTTCTAAACCGGAGTTTATATTTTTATTCCATCAGGGTATGGTCATAGGTCATGGGTCAGGAAAGGCCCTCTTCCTGGTTAGTAACTTTCGCTTTTCTTTATGATTTTCTGCGCCTCATTAGTAAAAGTTAGTGCTAATGTTAAATGCGTTCGACAATAAGGATCGTATTTTCAAATATAAAAATAATTAAATTAAATATTTGTACGCTTATGACTCCGAACGTATCGTTGTATATTATTATTATTGATAGCCAATTCTCTGTAGGCCCTGCCTTAGTCTTAGGGTAGGAGCGACCAGGTTTCTGAGTCTGATCGCCCGGCGATCTCGTAGATATGAGCCGTGATAATTAATGTTATTTGTGTTGTCTATACTTTACGTAACCGACAGTGAGACACGCCCCTAAACAAATGCTTAAGTGTACTGTCCAATTTCTTGGGCTTAGTTGTTTTTTTTTAAAATTAAACGATATAAATAAATCAAACAGACCGATCATTTAAATTTAGTCAAAATTCGAATTTCTTAGATTTAGAATTTAGATGTTTAAGTTTAAGTAATTTAAGTTTAACTTTTAAAAGTACTTAAACTTAAAGTCAAACACATTGAATTTGATTTTGAATATTGAAAATAAATTATATTTAAATAATCTATTCTCAACTAGTCAAATCTAGGATTAAATTAAAGATTTTTTTCATTTAAAGATTAGGCCACTATTTAATTATTAACTACCATTACTTTTTAATTAGTATTTGCGTATTATTAATTGTTGTTATTATTATTAATATCATGATTTTGAAAGGCCACTTGTATTATTGATTTAACATAAACAAATTTGAATTAAAAATAATTGGTGGATGATAGTTATTCCATAATATTAATTTTAGTTAGTTATGATCAATAGGCGCACTATTTTTATTTTTTTTAAATATTTTTTTATTTAAAAATAATTTATTTGAATTCTTTTATAGTTGATGAGGGTATTTCATTGTATTCAAAATGGCATGGCGATTTAAAGTGTCCAAGTATAAAAATGCTGCACCAAAGTTTCCTAAAAAGGAGGTAAGAAAGAGGAATTTCAATCCCAGAGTGAAAATGGTTTTAATTTTAAAAATCATTGACATCCACACAGCATATGATAATGTAGGCAGGATATAATATTTGTTTGAGGTTCCACGACTATTAGACATGGTAAGGAAAACTGAGAAAGCATGTAAAGGGAGTTCCATATCAAAGAGGGTTTCAATCAATATAACTTACTCTTATGACTAGATTCAAGGACACTTTTCACTTGGGCTAAAAAGAATATTCACACCATATAAAATATAGTGTATAACATGCAGGTTTTTTTTTGTTAGAATGCACACAAACAGGGTACTGGCACCTTTTTTCTACAGACTTTCCAAATAACTTTTTGCCAATTTATGTTTGCCCCACATGCACTTGAATCGCTCTGTCCATTGTAGCAGGTCAGGGGGAAAATCATTAAAATGATGCCTGCGGGCTGCTTTGTGGATTCGGTAGAAAAGCTGGGTTCGCACCGAGTGGCACTAAACCTAAATACACCAGTGCGGGCAAATATTAAATAATTTATTTTATTTAAAAATTGTTGGTATAATGGAAATAATTGCTAATTACTTCTCAACCACCTGTCCTGCTAATAAAAAGGCCAGAGTATTAACAGACATAATGACAGAACACACGAAAATAATGACGCCAGTTGATATTTCTGAATCCGATCTTAAGAATCAAAGCCAAAATACTTCTTTTAATGACTTGATCAAAAATATCAAATTTCTTTTTAAAATTAAAGGGCCATCCAGAAATGACGTAATGCTATTTTGGCCACCTTTTTCCTCATCATCACAAATTTATCACAAAATGATACACCCTCATAATAGTTGATTATACAATTGTGACCCTGCCACCTCAGATGCGTGACTTCATTATGAATGACCTCTAAAATATTAACGATATGTGAGTATCTGCACCTTTTTGTTTGCAAAAAAAAAAGCACTGACAACATGTAGCTTAGCAACCAAACAATCACAGTCTAAGCATTTCAGCTGACTTCAACTGATGCATACTATTAGAATTGGAAATCAACAAACACATAGGACTTAGATAGATGAAAAAGTACCTTTAAAAAAAAATAACCTACACCTTTCAGAATAATGGCCTCATAGTATAATTGATTTACTGCCTCACCCAGATGACCTACTTAGACTACTGTGATCCGTCACAGTTTGTGAAAGACCTGTTAACAATCAAAGCCCCCATTCCATATTTCAAACTTAACCAATTATAAGATGCTAAATGTAAATAACATTTGGTAATGATAAACCACCAAGTGTTAGGCTACATCGGGGACAGGCACCTGTTTTTGTGCAAAGGGCCACATGGAAATTATTTAAAATTTTTATTTTTGGCAGATTGCATAATAACTTTCTAAGACTCTAAGAGTTCTTGACAATAATTTACGTGAAATGAGACCACTTCTTGGACTGACTGATGTACATGATGCTGGAGAAAGTTTGCTATAAAATATTTTTTGGAAAATTTGATGTGATATTTTATATCCCATGGAAATTAAATTAAAAAAGAAAGACAACTAAATGTCTGGGTACTAGACTAGTCCCTTTAGTCTCCCTTGAATTCCAACAGGTACTGGGGAAATCACAAACTTCTTTCCTGAGTTTTTATAACACTTCCAGCTGAAATGCTATATAATTCACCATCCTATAATATAGCACTACTAGGCAGAAAATGGATCAACACCATAAGTTTGTTCCTGGAGCTGTTCTTATTAAAAACTGGACTAAAATTGAAAGATTGAAAGACTAAGTTCAAGTGAAAATAAATTTGAGAAGAAATAAGGTCATAGAATGATCAAATCCATGAACCAATATAAAACAAAGAAAATCAAATTAATTTATTTGTACTTGTCGCTTTTTGTTGACTGCGTGCTGAAGGCTTTTAGCCATTGTGTTTGATACTTTGTTGTGTCTCATCTTGGGCTTTGGTATGCCTCGTATAGTCCCTTTTTACAGCTTGATCCAAAATTATCCTGATAGTGAAACTAAAGCAGAACAGGTTTGTACTTATAAAATGTTTTGTGTAACATGAAATTATGTCATTCATTACTGTATAGGAACTTATTCAAGACATTCCAGTTCATGATGTAACCCAGTCTTGTGGGAATCACATCAAGGCCAGCTCTGTCTACATTGCTTTCAACATTGACTCTGCTGGTAAGTTTATTTTTAATGTTTACTCTGATGGTAGGTTAAATTTTAAAGTTGCTTCTGATGGTAGGTTAATTTTTAATGTTGCCTCTGATGGTAGGTTAATTTTGTCTCTGATGGTAGGTTAATTTTTTTGATGCCTCTGATGGTAGGTTAATTTTTAATGTTGGGTCTGCTGGTAAGTTTATTATTTTTTTTATTGTGCTCTTCTGGTATGTTTAATTTTTATATTGACTTTGCTGGACATTTTTTTAAAAATCTTGACTCTGGTTGTACCTTTATTTTTAATAATTTAGATATTATTTACATTTTTTTTGTTATTACAGGTGGTGGAAATCTGGGCTATTTACCATTGTCAGCAAGTGGTCGTCAAGGAAACACCCTGCCCATTATACAAGCTCACGGAGGTACACCAACTTATCATTAGCATTTGTTTTTTTATGTTCTAAAAAATGGAGTTATATTCCCTTTGAATATCATATATTGAGAACATGGTCTAAAAATGTATATCCCTGCTTTACAGCTTATGTTGAGTTTTTTTTCCTATTGCTGCGGAAATAATTTTTTTTGGAACTGTCTGTTCAGATTTTGTGACAGACTTTGATTTCTCTCCCTTTGATGACTATTTGCTGGCAACTGGGTCACAAGACAACAAGGTAATTCAGTCAAAGAGTTTTACTTCATGATAAGGAAATGTTCACCTGGTCCACCTGTGGTAAAATAGACCTTGTGGCAGATTCAAGGAAGGGAGGGGGGTGCGGGGAGGGACATCAGGGCACTGAGAGGATCCTTGTTATGCAATTGTTTTGCATAACTGACATGATTATTTTACGCAACAAGCTGGCATACCAAATGTAAATAAAGAAAGTATTTTTTTTTTTAAAAACCTAAAGCTCTCAGTGGCTCAAATATCAACATTGTAAGTGGAATCACATTTTTACCAGTTTGCAATAGAACAATATATGAAAATTATTAAATTTCAATTTTTTTTTTCTGCAAGGATCTACAGAAATATTATCTTTCAGTCATGAACTTAAGAGAGCTCACTTTATACATTTTAAAAACTTATTTCTCAGGTAAACCTGTGGCTTCTTCCTAATGAGGCTGCGGTGAGCACATTGTCGGAGCCCTTGACATCACTTCCATTGTTTGAAAGACGTGTTGAGAATGTCCTGTGGAACCCTCAGGTTGACGGGATACTTGCCGTGACATCAAATACAACCGTCAAAGTATATGATGTCACTGGGGCAGATGGCAGAGAAATCTTCAGTTAGTAGATTTCAAATACACTTTGCTATGTCATGCAGCTAGCCTGGTCTTGTGTTATATTGATATATTGTATTAGAAGAAAGGAATATATGGAACACACAATTTATATAAACTCTGTGCCTCTCACGAGGCTAACATCTTGTTAATGACACTTTAAATAGCACCTACGGTTGATGTTGAATAGTACTTACGGATGATGTTGAATAGTACAGATGGTTGAGGCTGAATAGTACCTACGTTTGATAATGAATTTGCAGCATTGAAGCTTCCATGCCAATAATCAAATAGCTCTTATGTATTTTCACTTCTTCATTACCATTATTTATGTTGTCCAGATTTTTCTAATCATGGAGATCAAATTCAGAGTGTATCCTGGCAAGGGGATGGAGCCCTTCTGGTCACTTCTTGCAGGGACAAAAAAATTCGAGTCATTGATCCCAGATCAGGCAAAGTTGTGCAGGTTGGTCTAAATCTGAAATAATTTCTCAATCATATTAATTTTTTTTACACTGCCTGATCTATCTATGAATCTACATGGGATGTACAGGTGTAAAGTTTTAGATAAGTATTTATATGACATGTCACAAATGGTAATTTAAGGATTAGTTTTTGCTCTCAAATTTAAACTGCTACTTAAAGTAGTATAGAGCTGGTAACAAATTTATGTTTGATGATTGATTTTTTTTTTTATAGCGCATGTGTCCATGTTATTCTAGCATGCTCAAAGCTCTCTGATTTCATAAACTCTTTTTATTTCTTTTTAAATTTCTCTTAAATGATTTTGTGTCATTTTTAAAAATTCCTTAAGGACTGAGGCAAACTGTTCCATAATTTAGGCGCTATAGCTTCAAAAGAGTGCACTCTGAAGGACTTCTTTTCGTGTCCATCCACACTGGGAACTCTCAGTAGGGACTGTTGTGTAGAGCGCAGTTACTTTAAGGATTCATATTTGGAAATAAGTTCTTTTAGATAGTCAGGCCCATAATCAAAACATAAGGCATGAATCAAATGTTGTTGTGGTTGTGTATAATAATAAGATATTTCCATAACGGACATTTTTTCCCCCTGATTTCTTTAATTGTTCAGGAAGGCAATGGCCATCAGAACATCAAAGATTCAAGAGTATTGTGGTTGCCTGGTAAAGATTTCATATTGTCAACAGGCTTCAGTCAGGTATTCTATAGACACAAGTTTTTGTCAAATAATCTATTTACACATTTTTTTTTCAGGTAAACTATTAACACAGGCTTTAGCCAGGTTTTTTTTTTTAATATTAAATTTTTGCCGTGCCTGAGGTTCCCCGATATCTAAATACCCTGGTATGCGATATTTTCAAATCCCTACATGTTTGTGATGTATGTAGTATGAAACCAGGGTAATTATCAGCAGTAAGGGACAAAATGTTAATCTATCAACCTGTTGTTACATTTACATTTTATTTGTTACATTAACCTTTTATTTGTTACATTAACAATTAATATTTTATTTTACTCTTCTATTTTGTTATTCATTTGTTCCCTCTCTCAGACAAGAAGTAGAGAAGCGAAAATCTGGGATCCAAGAAACCTGTCTTCATCTCTTGGTACAGTGCCGATAGATTCATCTACAGGGTTGGTGTTTAAATCTATGCTAGAGCAATATGTGAAAATTGAAATAAATTATGACCTTTGAAAGAAAAGTGAAGTTAGTAATGGGTACTTTTAAAGATTCAAGACTTCGTGAGTCATAATATGATTACATTTAACCTGCCATTGGCAGTGAAACCTGACAGTGTAATTTACAAAATGCTGCCTTCAACTATAATCACAAGTTCTAGATCTGCTGTTGATTCTTTATCTTATGATAAAATATTTATTTTAGCATTCGTAATTAGTAATGAATATAATTAATGACATTTTCCAGGACCATCATGCCGTTCTATGACCCTGACACTTACATGACATACCTTATCGGAAAGGTAACGACACTCATTAAATACTTATTATTCGTCTCCTGTCATCATCAAGTTAACCTACTTAATTTAAGAGTTATCACAGACCTTACTTGAAAACAAGAACAATTGTGTTTAAAAAGATTTTTTTGATTCAAGGGATGCATAGAAATTAACATGATATAACACCAAGATTGTCATCTCCTGTACGTAAACTGAAGATCAAAATCACACAATAATTCACTTTTCATACACTTGTTTAAAAAATGTCAAATCTTAGGTTATGAGTTCTTATAATCATCTAAAAATAGTCCACTACAGTTGAGCATCTAGGACCATGAGCCTATAGGAAGTATCATTGCCTTTTGGGCCTCACTCTTTTATACTGGATCATATCAATCTTTTACATACAGGGTGACACCACTCTGAACTTTCTAGAGCTGGTAGACAAAGACCCATACCTCACACCAGGTATGTGGTTGTCCTATTACTCATGGGAATTGCAATTGGGAATTTTTAAAAATAAAACTTCAATATTGTGTTTAATTTTCATCCAGTAATATTATTGCAGAAATTTTAGCAGCATTCCAATTTGTAAACATCAATAATTAGAGTCCTTTATCATACGTAGATTGTGGAATAGTTTTAAAATACTTCAGAACCAGTACAGAGGGTGTGAGATTTGAAGTAGAAATAAAACTGATTTCAACTAACTCATCCGTCTTTGTTTTGTGTTCACTGTTTGCAGCTGGCGTTGACAGGACAGAGCAGATAAAAGGCGCAGCGCTTGTCCCCAAGAGAGCCATGGACTTGATGGCTGGAGAAGTCAACAGACTAGTGGTGCTGTGTCGTAACTCTATCATTCCTGTGCCTTACATTGTGCCACGAAAAGTAAGATTATCAAACCGTTTACTGCAAAATCGTGATTGGAAATGAAGGTGTGCCGCTAGAACATTTTTACTCAAAGTTGTGACTCTGTCCAGAAAAGTTGAAAGTTAAACATCAACTTAAAACAATGAAAGTGTTAGTGTGATGAGCACCAAAACATTTTCCTGATAAAAAAGCATGAAAAAATTACATTTTTAGTATTATTTGTTATCACTGTTTTGGTTTTGTTCGTGAATATAAGACTTTCATTATGGCCTTTTCTGTTAAATATATTATATCTGTAAGATTAATTTTACTTCAACCTTGGTGTCACGTCATTTGTTTCTTTTTCAGTCCTACAGGGACTTCCATTCAGATTTGTTCCCAGATACTCAAAGTGGTGAGCCTGGACTAACTGCTGACCAGTGGTTGAATGGGCAGAATACTGAGGTATTTTATATATTTACTTGTACAACTGGTCCTGGTAGACATTCACATTTGTGGCTAGTGATACACAAATCATTTTCTGGAAGTCCATTTTTTTAATCATGTTTTCAATGCATTTAAAAATATTTTAAATTCTGGTCTTATATTATTTTAATTTCTTGGTTAATTTTTTTTTTTTTTTTTTTTTTTTTTTAAGAAGGAAAACCCCCCCCCCCCCCCCCCCCCCTATTAGAGGATTGAGACGTTTGATTACAGGCATGAGGTATCAAAAATATTTTTAGTTAATTTTTTAATAAATTTGAAATTTCATTGTTAATTAAAACATTTATTCTATTGAGATAACATTGATATATTTATTCTGTTTATATAACATTGATTTACATTTGGGCCTTGGAATCCAAAAATAATCCGTCCCAGAACCCAGTTCAAGTTCCAAATAGTTGAGTTCCAAAACATTTTTTCCCTTTAAATTAATACTTGATTAGTCCATTCCTGGGCCCCGCAAACTCTATGGATCCCAGTTCTTTTCTTAAAGTTCTTGAACCACCCCCTAATGGCTTTAAACTCCTCCCTTTGATCGCTAGTGTCAGGCATGCATTGCACTAAATCATCGTGGAGGACTTTGGCTTCCTCTCAAATTATCGTCTCAGAAATCACATCAACAGCCTGGTGTTTTTCATTCATCCAAAAAATGCAGAGTTTTTTCCCTTTATCCTTTCCATAATTTTCTGTCTTTCAAAGGTCAGTGTCATCATTGCTCTCTGCCCACATCAACTGCTTTGATAGCTTTTTTTTTTTTTTTTTCAAAATCGTAGTCTGTGTTTAGGCATCCCAAAGTAGTAGAGAGATCAACCACACATTTACTCATTTCATGCTTACTGATGAGAACTTTCTTAACCTTAAATGTGGCTCTAACAGCTGTTGTCTTACTGTAACAGCTGTCATCTTACTGTAGAACATGCTGGGCATTTGGATTCCAAAGCAGCAATTGGCTTTCAAGCAAAAATTTGCTTGAAATTTGCATTTAGATTCTATGCTGTTCGAGTTCTAGGGCGTTTGGATTCCGAGGCCCCACTTTATTTTTCAGTAGAGGTAACATTGATACATTTTGCCAGCTTCAGTAAAACTATTTTTATCATTTTATTTTCAGCCCAAATTTGTCAAACTAGAACCCAAGAGTCGTCTAATTTTACGAAACAGACGAGGATTTCTTATAAATGGACCACAGCCAGAATCCCCATCACAAAAATCCCCTCCATCAAAGGAAGGCGGGAAAGTGTACAGTAATGATGAAACAGTGAAAAAGGTTTTTACAATTTCCATTTTGCTACTTAAGAGCAAGATCATCATTTGCAAAAAAAACAGAAACTTAGATTCTTTACTTGAGCTATTTAATTATTTCTTTATTAGTATTTATCAGAAATACTTACATTCAAAGATTAGTCAGCAACAGCAAATTACACTTTGAATAAATTAACTTCTTGAATCCAAATAAAAAATTATTCATTTCCAATCAACCATCAATGTTAAGTTTTTACATGTATAAAAACTTTTCTCCAACAAGTCAAGTCAGCAAGATATGGTTGACTCCAAGAAAAATCAAGTGCCATACACTCCAACACCAGACCAAGAGATAACAGCTGCTACACATGAGAAGCCGGGTGTGTCCCAGGTGAAAGCAAACATACAGAAACCAGCAGTCCTGGACGAGAAACCCCGGTCCATTCCAAAACCAATAAAGCCATTTTCAGGTACTTCCTTTTTCATATGGGTGAAACTATTGAAGAAATCTATGCAGTCCTGAATGTTTGTGTGATAATTTAGGCTAATGTATTCAATAATCGAGCAAGGAAAACTTTCCCCGGCCTCACCCCATTTCAACGGAGATTAGGTAGTTAGAAGCGAAAACAAATTAATTCAGCTTTTCGGCAAAATATCACCATATGGAATCAAACAAACACTCTCCTACCAATGATCCTCAAATTTCACTTAATTTCTTTTCTTATTTCTTATATTTTACTTATTTCCAAAATATTTTTATCTGTTAAAATCTTATTTTTTGTACTAATGCTACATAAATTCTTTTGCTTCCTGTAATCTTAATTTTCGGAAGCCCAACTGCCAGTAATAACATTAATGGCAAACACTTAAAGTTTTTGAACTTCTCTCTATTTCTTGTTGTTTCTTCTTTTGTTCTGTCTGCCGAGTAAGGCTCTTAGCGAAAATGTTCCTCTTGTATAGTCCTGTCTTTATATTTCAACCTTCCACATGCCTTGTTCTTCTATTTCCTTCACGCAGCCTGAGTGCAGTCCTTCATGTATTATATTATTCTGTTTATAATAATTCTGCTGCCAGAATCCAAAATAAAAGAGATTTTTTTTTAAAACTGAATCTTCAAATTAATATTGTTCACATTTTATTAAACAATCTCTTTGTGTCACAATAATGTTCCAGAGTTTGAATTAGATTAGGTTATTCAAATTAGGAGTTATTAAAAAAAAATGTGTCCGATTTTGTACACTTGTCAAGTCTTGTTTCTGTACTGAACTCGTTCATTCAGGCATGCGCCAGTCAAAGCCTTGTCACTGTCAATAACATTCAGGCTGAACTTGTTCATTCAGGTGTGCGCCAGTCAAAGTTTCGCCACATCCAAGGTCAGCTCCTTCACCCCAGTACCTTCATCACCAATGTCAGAAATGTGTGTAAGACCATGCCAGGTGAGAGTGACATGTTTGCTGCCAATGTCACCAGATGTGCTGTGCCCACAGACAGCTTTGGTGGCTGTATGCATATTTTTGAGGTCAGCTGATAGATGTACAAGTGTCAGTTAACCCTTTATGGGGCAGAGCGGCCGAAAATGTCTTTACCACTTAAAGTGCAAAACGCCCAAAAGTGTCAGTGAAGACTTAGTGTTGTTTTCTCGTGACCTCCGAGGCTTTGTGAGACTTCCTATTGTTTACATCCAGTTTTTCCGATAGCTAAATAGAGTAGGCGCCAGTTACAAATATTTAATCGATTTTTTTTTTAGTTTTAGGGGTTTAAAAATTATTTTTTTTCGAAATGTATTTTGCTGATTATTTGCCAATTATTCAAGTGGTAGCGGAGATTTCGCTGGATTCAATTAAAGTGACATTTAAGTGCAGGAATTGACTGTAAATTGGAACTAGATGTTTATATTATTAGTAATATTAGTGAAATCAGTGTAGCAAGCAGTGTAATTTGAGTGTTGAATTTTACAAACTTCGATTTTGTGTCAGTGTTTGTAAATAATAAATAGATGACTCACAATCACAAACAATATGTTGTTTTTGCAAATATTTATGTTTATATAAGGATTAATGGCAACATGTGAGTACAATTATAAATCTGCATACATTTTCCTTTATTTTGCTTTTTATTTCACACAAATTTGTTGACTAACACCTTAGATTTGATTCTTTTGGTAAAATAACTCTAAATTTTACAAAAAAACGGAAAAGTGGTGCCCATTCAGGACGTGCAAGAGGAAGTACCTCTGCCCCGTAAAGGGTTAAAGGGAAATAGATATCTGAAAGAGTAAAATTCGATAGATATTAATAATTTTGAGCAGTACTAAATTTTCTGTAGACCTGGGTTGATAATTTTATTAGAGCTAGAAATGTTCTTTTCGACAATTTTATAAGAGTTAGAGAAATCGCCCATCAAAATAACGTAATCCAAATATTTTTTTATCCAATGTAACACATTTTTACATTATATCTATTTTGATTTAGTTTAAGTTGGGATAAAATGTTTTAGAGCATAGCTGTCCAGAATAAAAGACAAAAATCTTTTATTTTTATAGAGGAATCAGTGAACCTGGACATTTAATTTTTGCAACACAGAATAAATAAATTGCATTTGCTATTATAATGTCATTCTTTTGTTGCTATGAAGTGAGTGATAAATGTATAGTAAATATAAATAAATAGGGAAGCTATTCAGTGGAGTTGATTTGTCATGTGGTAATGTTCCCCACAAGATTGTATCCTGTTGTGTTGTCCTCAGTTTTCTCAAGCCACAAAACTTCCAGACACAGGCGTACCAATCATTCAGAATGGAAGCAAAGTAGCAGATTTTGCCTGGGACCCGTTTGATGATAGTCGACTAGTTGTGGGTAGGTCTTTTTAGGTGTGGTTAGGTATTTTTAGTTGTGGGAAGAAACTTTCAGGGCCCTGTGGGACTACAGTCGAATTTTGATGCAGAGTTGGAAGCTATTTAAAGGGCACTGGAAAGTCTGCACAGTATACAGTGATGGGAGCTTGTGGGACTAGACATGGTCATTTTCTCTGATTCAAGATTTGCTCTTGAGATTTAAAAAAAAATTGTTAATAAAGGATTAAAACAGTTACATGACATTCATTTTGTTACAGAGTGTAAATAATATTTACTATAGAATTTTAATATACACAATTTTAAATAAACACATTTTTTAAAATACTTTATTTTACTTACTTTATATAAAATGGGATAAAATAATAATAATTAAATCAATAAATAATGTGATAATTTAGAGAGTTTTTTTATTTGTTGTTCTGCAGTAACCGACAATGCCAAAATAAATGTCTGGAAGATCCCAGAGGGTGGCCTTGCTGAGAACTTGGAGGAACCTGAATATTCTATGAAAGGTGAAGGTTTCTTTTATGCCAAATAATTTATTATTAAGTTATATATATATATAGAGAGAGAGAGAAGGAAAAAACATTTATGTACAGAGAGGGGAAAATCACATAAGGTGGACTGATTTCTTACCATGCTGAAACAAGGAGATCAACTTGTCAATGTTATTTAACAGGATGTGTACTCTGTGTAACATGTATTTAGAAGCATGACCTCTGAACTGTTCATTAATTAAATCTTGCTGTTTTCAGGTCACATGGAGAAAATTTACTTTGTACGATTCCACCCTCATGCAAGAGATCTAATAGTGACTGCATCCTTTGACATGACTGTCAGAATTTGGGACCTGGCACAGCGTAAAGAAGTGCTCAGATTGGAAGGTCATGATGACCAGGTATGTCATTTTGTTGATGTGGTGAATCAGATACAGTTAAATAGCAAGAGCCAGATTTACCTATAAGCTAAAGATTTATAGATTAGGGCATCATAACCCAGAAGGGGATACTGAATCAGAATATGTTGGAGGGGAGGGGGTTAAATCCTTTTAAAATGTATGTGTGCCAGATGTATAATATTGGTTCTTTTTCACTTTATTGGAATTCCTGTAAAATTTTTGGTCCTATCAATTCTGCCTACTGAACATGGGTCATGCAAGTATTTATAAAAAAGGACACTAATGGGAGGGTTACATCTAAGGGTATTATATTATATTGTTTGTCCTTAGCGCTCAAAGAGGAGCAGAGTTTGCCTTCTCTTAGATGAGTTGTCATCCAAGGTTAACGAGTCCCATCCCCCCGGTATATAACAGGACAAACATGAGGCACAATCAGGGTATTCTAAAATGTGCAGATGGCCTAGGCACAAGCCTCTATTTAATTCTGATTATCTGTCAAAGGCTTTTACTACCTTTTCCCCCCTTTTCATTTACATCAATGATCACAGACGTGTGTTTACTAATCCTATCTTTGGATAACAAAAAATCGGGGGATGGGTTGCTAATCGTCCAACCAGCGAGTCTCCAAGAGCATCATTACTCAGACCTATGTTTTCCTCTATTAGATTAGATTAGATACTAAAATATCCATCCGTGAAGCTCTAAACTCTTACAAAGTCAATCTATGTTCAGGTGTTCTGTCTTTCATGGAGCAGTGATGGCAAGTTCTGTGCGACTGTCTCAAGGGACGGTTTTGTCCGGGTGTTTGAGCCTAGGAAGAGTCCTTCTCCTCTCAGGGTAAGAAATGGCTGATAAATTTTTTCAAAGCTTTATAAATTATTTGATAGAAGAAGATATCTTTTCACAATTTTATATATTAATTTAAAGAGTAAGAGCTCTTTTCATAGTTAATTTATTAATTTATAGAAGAAGAGTTGAGCAAGACAACTCTGAGTGCTCACTTTGCATGTCAGCCTGTACCTTATGTAGATAATGCCTCATAAATAACCCCATTTCATTATTGTTCCAGAAAGGTGTTGGACCTGCTGGCATTCGTGGAGCAAGGGTGGAGTGGGTCCTACAAGATAAATACATTCTTGTCTCAGGCTTCGATAAGTAAACACGCACTTTGTCTGATAACATTTTGGTAACACAACACCGGGGGTTTTCTCTCACATACTCAGTAAACATTGTTACATGCAGGGCTGGGTAGCACTATTTGGGAATCTTAAAAAGTGTGTTAACTTGAATTTATGTTTTGTAGCAGATGGGACGTTCATCCCTTGCAGACGCCATTGTTTCGGCATGCTATAGTTAGTTAAGATATAAATTAAAACTTGGTAATAGGTTTAATAAAATGTCAAATGACATGACATGCGCGGCTTCTCTCCTCGGCAGAAATTCTCTGCAGCAGGTCATTATCTATAGATTGAGTGACCTAGAAAAGTTGAATGCTGTTGATGTCACGACGTCGCCAGCCATACTCATTCCCTACTATGACCCGGACAGTTCTGTTGTATTTCTCACATCCAGGGTGAGTCCACCATGTCACTAGAGCACGTTAAATGCAATCGATAAGCGGTTAATACACTCAATAATACAATAAATAATCTTCTCCAAAGCTGATTTTAAAATTATAACAATAGATGTTCCATCCGCATTGTTTTTTTTTAAAAAGTTTAGATTAAAGCAGGCCTGCACTGCTCAAAATGTAAGGCGGGTCGTACTACCTTGTGAAAAACTTATGCGGGCAGAAAGAAAACAGGACGGGGGGGGGGGGGGGGGGAGGGTGGGGGGAATCGATTGAGAAAATAATAATGATAAAGAATATTTCGTTACTTTGCGGGCCGCAAAGTGGGTGCTAGCAGGCCACATGTTGTGAGGGCCTGGTAGTAAATATAGTTTAACTCTTTGACTTCTGAATTTTGATTTGTGGTTGAACTGAATTAAATTCCGGTCAATGAAAACCAATTAATGGTTCCAACAGGAAAAAACAACAAAAAATAATAACCTGATATCCCTGATTTTGTTATCAATGGCCAATAAGAAATGGAAATTGTAAAACAGATGATGCATAAAATAAACGTATTATTATTATTTAGTTCATATTCGTGGGAGTAAAGTGAAAAATTCCCTCCAAAATACTAGTATACATTGTAACCTTGCTCTAATGGAAGAAGAAAATTTTCTGGATCAAAGTGTAAGTGCAATAGAAATAAGATTTGTCCAAACAGCCAGCAGACTTAATTGCTCAACTGAATCGTTGGCACTCAGTCAGTATGAGCGTGTCTCAGTAGCATGAAGAGATACGTAAAACCTACATTTGAATGAGAAGTCGAGTTTTGTTGAGCCATTATTGGACAAGCTTACAGATTAGGGACTTCACGATTCATTCTCTTAATTCAAGGGGGAGCGACTGATCTACACCTTTGAAGTATCAGAGGAAGAGCCATATTTGTTTGAGTGCACTTCTTTCAAACTGGACACATTACATCAGTCTGTGTCTTACTTGCCCAAACATGTCTGTGATGTCAGGAAAGTGGAGGTGGCCAGGGCCTGGAGACTAACCTTGAACAGTGTTGAGGCTGTTTCCTTTACTGTGCCTCGGGTCAAGGTAACAGAAACAATTTGCTAAATGAAATCTATTTATATTATTATTTGATTGTATGTGTTTTATTTGTAGATAAAGGTTTGACGAACTGCAGCCCACTGGCCAAATGTAGACACCACCTTCTTTTGTACGACCTGCAAGGTTACAACAGATATATATATATATATTGCTTTATTTGAGCAGACCTAAAATTTCCAGTGACCTCAAATTTACAAAATTATGATGTTTATAATTTATGTACTGGTCATTGTTAGCAAATTATCAATCGTTTAAACACCAATGATGAAATATCTAATTTTCTTCTTTTCAAGCACATACTTTAAATTTCCTGACTTTAATAAAATATAAAACAAGTGTCCTTCATTAGGAGACTGTTATTTAATCCAATGATAATTATAAAAAATTATATGCACAATAATCTTAACGATTTGCAATTACTAAATTACTGGTGTCTTGAATTTGTTTACAGTTGGAATATTTCCAAGATGACTTGTTTCCTGACACCAGGGTGACCTGGGAGGCCACTCTCACTGCTGATGAATGGTTGGCAGGAAAAGATAAGCCACAAAGGTGCATTAGTATGAAGCCTGTAGACATGATTCCATGTAAGTCGCCTAAGGATTAACCACCTTATAAGTTCAAACACATGAAATTGGCTTATTCTATCTACGGAAAGTACATTGCCAAATATGTTTGGAGATTCTTCAGTCTAATTGTTACGCACTGACTTGTATTGGGAGAAATTAATCTCCTATTTTAATTTTAATTGGCTCGTTGTAAACAGTGCCTAACAAAGGACGATACCATATAATCAACAATATTAAAGATACGACCCAAAACAGTTTCTAGTTACAATTAATTAAGATTTATTATGTCTTAAGATAATTACAAAATAAAATAAAATAAAATTACAATCTTCAACTTACAGTATGGCAGATGTCGTACCGGTACACAGTTAATACAATTAGAAATAATGATGCCAATAAATAATGCGAAATAAACACATATAAGTAGGAGCACACAAATACACAAAGAATAAAACACGCCTCGTATGTTAAGAGAATCTATATGAAAATCTCCGTCCCTCGACCGTGCCTGTCAATCCCTTATATAGGTGGGTCTACCGACGCCCAAGCCCTGCCTTCGAGCAGCTACATGACATATCTAGAAAAATCCAAATAATTCTACAAAATACTACTTGGAATAGATTAATTATTTTTATTCGTTGGCGGCGTAAACAAGTTACTTCAAAGACCTAAGCCACACCCCTTTGTGAACACAGCGTCTCATGCGGGGTCAATCAGAGGGGACGCACGAGAAATATGATGTAAACAAGCTCTCTATAACACTAATTAATTCATTGAAATTTTATTATTTTTATCAAGTTTATTATTTTGTTTTATTATTAAGTTTTCACTATATCAAAAATAAATCAAGTTTTATTTCATAATAACAAACAAATGTTGTTTTGTTTTTTAGTTTTGCTTTCTATAAGATTTTGCATATAATTTGTTCAAGTTTGTCTATGAAAACATTTCAGTGAGTCAGGCTCCAGCAGACGCTCCAAAAATTAAAAAGTTTGAAAGTTTTAATGTGGACACATTTAAAACAGATGAGCAGAAAAAGGAAGAGGTGAGCCTAGTTTTGTGACAGTTCTATTTACGCTAAATTCCAGTTTAATCATATAAAAGGTAGATTTGGTGTTCTGAATTGGGTTAAAGGGAGATTTGGCATTTGGGATTAGTTAAAAGGGAGATTCTGCATTCTGAATTAGGTTAAAGGGAAGTTGGCATTCTGAATTTTAGTTAAAGCGAGTTTTGGCATTCTGAATTAGGTTTAAGGTAAAGTTTGCTTTCTGAATTATGTTTAAATTCTGTTGGGATCCACATTTTCATTGTATCAACTTTAATGTATTTGCATTATTATGAGAAATAAGTATGAAAAAAATGGAAATCACACATGAATTATTTTTTTTTAATGTGTAACATTTTACTATGGGCAGAAATAGAGCTTGATTTTAATATTTACCGGTACCAATGTCTGTAGTTGCTGAATGCCATGGTTGGAAAACTGGAAATATCGAGTGAGCCACTGCCACAGCTGCTGACTGAAGGAGTTGAAGATGCTGAATGGGTAAGCTGTTGAGTGGAAAATGTTGACGATAGGAATGGAGGATGGGCATGAGCAGAAAAGGCTGTTTGGCATTACTAAAGCATTTTTAGCTAATTTTATTTCAAAGGGATTTTTTCATCCTTGCTTGCACTCTTGCAGTTCCTGGAACCAAAATTAGCCCCAATAGATTCCACAATCACAGACCCATTGAAATGTGTTCCATGAATAAAGGTCTAATAGAGATGGGAATGCGTAATGTAACGTAGGTTTCCAGTATTTAATAACTTTCATGTTTTATAAGAATGTTAACATAACGTTTGGTACCGTACCATGTATAAAATTGAAATGATTATTTGTTTCAGGATGATTAATGTGACATGAACAAAGCTGATGGAATTTCAGGTGATCAGATGATCTTTTCTTTGATAGCCTGTACGAGAGACAAAGATCAAGAAAATGTCAATAATCATTTCTAGGATTCCATGAAAATCTCAGAAAAATTAAATATCACTTCCTTGAAAACGTGCACCAGTGGAACTGCAATTATTTAATGGGTTTTTTTTCGTATTAAAATTGTAGGCCTATAATATTTATGTTATATTTTTTTCAATTTCTAGTTAATCAAGCATTATCTTATAATTTCCCCTTGTCTTCATCCTAACAATCTTTCCTGTCATACTGTCAAACTGAAGTTATATTAATTAAATCACCGGTCTTTGTAGAGACCTTCATGTTCACATCCGACAGTGTTATTGTTTACTGAATTGCCTTTCATAATCAATTGTATCTCGAGCCAATCCTTGGTATCTGTGCTCAAAGTTTTGATTATATTTATCTATCTACTTTGTGATTATAGCGTGTTTCTTTTTAAAGAAACTTATATTGTTATATCATTAAAGACAATTATGGAAAAGGGATGGTTGGATCCGAGAGCTCAGCTTGAAATGATCTTGAATGAACTATAGTGATGTTAATTTTAATCACATACTGGTCCCAATGATGTTGACATTCCCTTAGACCAATTGACTCATATTTTATTTAATTAATTCAACTTTTTCCCTATGCATGTGCAATAATGATGGAATCAACTCATTTTTTTATGGGCTGGGTCTAAGGATAATCTCAATGCAAAGTGTTCAGGACAGAGTGCTACTGTTCCACACTGAGCTTGATCATTTTAAAAAAATTATTATTGTTTTGCCAGCCATTAGGAATTTTTGAACAAAAAGTTTTTGTAGTGCTGTAATTTCATTAGATACAAATTTATAATAGTTTTCTGTACCGGTATAAGAGCTTATTTTAAGCCAACCATTTACTAAAGGTATTTGCCTTAAAATTTTCTTTATATGAAACTCTGCCTTACTTATTTCTTGGCTATAAATATTTTAATTTAATTAAAATGTCAATTTATTTGACTTCTTAATGCTTTTAAAGATGACTTATCTTATACATAATACTTTGCAAGTTTGTGTTCAACTGTTTCATATGTTTGTGGTGTTCAGCCTTTTATTGGACAACTAAACGCTCTTTACGTATTTTGAGAGAGGGAGTCATGTACCAAAGTTTAATAAGTTGCCGACAACAGAGATAAAACTAATAAAACAAGCCCCTTTCTACCATACAAATCGTCATTTTTGTAATGGACAACAAAAAATTGGACATTTTTATTATAAACAGTATTTTAAATATTCATACAATTTTTGGAGGATCGGTTGTCCTTTGCATGCCAAGATGATCATGGCTGAAGTCAATGGTAAGGAGGCAGATGGCTTGCCAGTCCTATTTGTGCCTGGAAAGCTATCTCCCATGGCCGACACACATGTTTTGGGGTCCTAGTTGCATTGGAGTCGATTCTGCTTTTCCTTGCTTTGCGCTCTAACTTTAGGCAAACAAAATGGGTCTCAAATAGGATAGTTTGACACCTAGAGGTAATTTCCCTGACATGCTTAGACACTTCGCCCTGATAAGCTTAGACACCTAGAGGTAATATACCTGACATGATTAAACACCTAGAGGTAATAGCCCTGACATGATTAAACACCTAGAGGTAATAGCCCTGACATGATTAAACACCTAGAGGTAATAGCCCTGTGCTTTATTTTGATGACAAGCAGGTTTTTCTTTTTGGGTGTCTTAACTCACAAAACATTGGGTCTGCACAATAGTTGTAGGATTATAAAGTTATGGGATATGTCTGTACAAGGAGCTGTTCAGTTTAACTTTATCTTCTCTGGAAGTTATTTATCCTAGCCCAAAAACATAAAATTTGATTTTGGATAAAGTCTTTAGTGTGTTTTTCCACAAATTTGAATATTTTTATATATTAATATCCAAATTTCCTTCCTTCCTTTTTTTGTTCTGCCATAAATATGACTGAACAGGTTTGAATAAAATGTGTGGTGTGTTAGCTCTGAGTGTTTTCCTAAAGTAGCAAACCAATACATGACAAACTAAAGTTTTAATTTTACTATACCATCAGTGTTGTCAGCTATCTTTTTCTATTTTTAAAATAAGAAGAGGTCATTATTTTGTAGCAGCTGCCTGGAGTACTTGTTTTTATAGAATGTTAGAAATATATTAATTTCAAATGAAACCAGCACAATTATATCCAAAATATTGCTTTACAGAAACAAAAATGAAACAAAACAAAAGATTTTTCATAATAAAAGCACAATTATCATTTTCTTTAATAATTTGAGACAAACCTAAATGTTAATAAAAAAAAAATATATCCATTTCATGTGGTATGTTGTCAATTTTGTATAAATTATGGATCTCCATTTTGATTAAGATATTATTTACGTCTCCCTGGAATAATCAATTCTTTTTATGGTTGACTGACTAAAGAAAATAATTCTAAATTCAATGCACACCTGAAAACCTAAAGCCTTGTGTTCCCTCAACTCACCAAACAACATTAACCATAACATGCATTATTTAATTTATGTCAAAACAATTGAATTATAGCCATCATTAAAAATCAATGAGCCAGTGAACTTGACATGGAAACCACACCCAACACTCACAAGGAAAACATTTAAGTGGCACCAACTGCTCTTGAGCTTTAACAGCATCTCATTACTTTCCAATATATATACTTTCCCCATATATACATCACAGAAATGGTGGCCAACACAGGTTATAATTGGAACAGCCCATGTCCGTACCATGTTTATGGTGTTGCCGGTGGGGGGAAGCATAGATAACGCTAAAATACATACAAAACCTTTTTCACATCATTCTTACCTTAACCCAGCACCTCACTCACAGCCTCAGTCAACATCCATACTTATTTCATATTTATAGCAATTTTTAAAACAAACAATACATGAGAGGTGACAATAGTACCAACTTTACAATTGTATGCATTAATTTTTTTTTTTACTGTTAGTTTAACTGGATTTTACAATTTGAACACTAACACATTGCATTTGACAATGCCCCTAACTTACAAAAAAAAAATTGTCATAATAAATTTTCTTTGAACCCTTTCATTACCGCTGGTTTTGGGCATCGATATTTGCTGATTCAGCTTTAAAAAAAAAAAAATATATAATAAAAAAAAAACTTAAATAGACAAAATTTCCGGTATTTTTTATTCTCTATCTGATTTGCTTATTAACTTCTCTATAGTTTAACGAATAAAGAAATATATAGAATTGAAAAATGACGTCAACGTGACATCCTTGGTATTTCAGAAAAGTTCTTTGCCTCTTTGTTATGACAACAATGTGACATCCTTGGTAATTGAAAGTGGGTGATCCTGATGTCGCATTGACATCATGGGTAACGAAAAGGTTAAAGATCCAGACTAGAAGATAAATTATAAATGTGTCAATGTTTACATGTCCAATAATGCTAAAAAATATTCTTACAGTATTCCTTCCCTTATTAAAAAAAAAAAAAAAGTATTGGGCGAGGGTTACAGAGATATTTTATATTACAGTTGAACATTTCTTTAAACAAATGTACAAGTGTCATTCTCCAGTAAACTTAAAAATTCAACTTATTGCTCAAAAGTATTTTTTAAAGTATTCATTCATTTGAAATGGCTCTGATCCAGAGTCTGAATTCATTTTTAAAAAAAACTTTCTCTCAAATTTAATAAATGCAAAATTTTACAGAGGCTTTAAAATTAAATATGATTTCTATTTAATGGTAAAATAAGTTAGAATATTTTTTTATGACCTCCTAAACACGAACTGAATGATGTTATGAATTTTTATCCATTATCTTTTGAATAAATTAATTACAAACTAAAAATATTATTAGTTGCGTCAATGATAAGATCCTACACGATCACGTGGTATCAACCTCAGTTCTGATCCATGCTTGAGAAAGACATTGCCTGAAAAGAGAGAAGTATGGGTGGGGGTAGTGAATTTTCATTACAAATTAAACCAGTCCATAACCCTCAAAGTAAACACAGATTTAAATACTAAAATATATATAATATTACAAAGATAATAAATGGGAAACATGCTACAGTGGCTGCTTCAGGTGTTTAGTTTTGAAAAACTATGTCAGTCTGAGCCAGTTAAATGTAAATATAATTGAATAAAGAGGGTGTTCTGAAATAACCAAAACGGCTGATAGGGGTCGTGTGCAAAATTAATTATATATTCTTTTGAGATTGATAATTAATTTTTTAATACAGAGATGGTAACCTGATTTTGTAGTTTAAGGTTTTTTTAAAAGCTCCGTTGAACAACCTACATGGCCCAAATTAATTGCCCTTTGCATACAACTGTAACTCTGATGTCTAAAAGCACTTTTTCCAATAAATGTATTCGCTATTATAAAATGAAGACAACACAGTACAGATGATACATCTGAGCTTCAAAATGGATTATAATTCAGAAAAACAAAGAAGAACATTTAAGTTTAATTTCCAACCTCATCTATGCTTAAAATGGCAGCCAAAAATTTATTATGCCTTGGCCAGAGCATTTACCATTAAAGGAATCAAGAAGTTCATTTATAGTAACAACTAAGACTAACCAGCACTCTGAGCTGGGTTTATTCCAATTCCATCATTGGTGATAATTGCACTGGTTGCTACGGGTACTTTAAACTGTAAAAAAAAATGTACTTATGTTATTTTAATAGTTCTGAAGAGGCATATAAAATTTGTGTTTCAATCTAAATCACCAACTTTGATAGGCATCAGATATTGAGAATTAAAATAATAATTTAAACAAACATTTAAAATAAATTCTATGTATATATACTTATATAAATATATATATATACACACATTATATACATATATATATATATATATATATATATATATATATATATATAAATACATATATATTCTTGTAATCAAATGTATCATATACAAAGTTAGCCATATAATCATCATTCAGATCAAGTTAAAAAAAATTATATATATATATACTTATATATATATATATATATACACACAATATATACATATATATATATATATATATATATATATATATATATATATAAATACATATATATTCTTGTAATCAAATGTATCATATACAAAGTTAGCCATATAATCATCATTCAGATCAAGTGGCCTTTTGGGCATGTGCCCTTTGGCCTGATACCAGCTAGCCATAAAATAACATGATTGTCAGCAGCTGACAGGTAATAATATATTATATTATATATTATAATATAAGACTGATCATCTATGTCAGAGTCTCCCAGCCTGGGGTGCTCCAGAAGGGGTGTATGATCTATAATGAGGTTTTCCGATCACAGGTGTACCAGGAAGAGTGACAAAAAGTGGTAATGAATATAAAGTGCCTTTTTAAAAAAAAATTATTTATCTTGTATTTTTACTTTTGTAGTGGTACAGAATTGTGTGTAGCTCTATTGCTAAGGTTAGGAAAGTCCTGTGTTAATACATGTCACAAGATTACCTCTTCAGCTGCAAATTTGAGAACTGCTGTGAATGGGGCCACTTCTGGTACAGACAATCTGAACAAGAAAATTAATTTTTTGACAAGGAGCATGATTCATTGAATTGAATATTTATATAGCGCTTGTATCCATGCTACTTTAGCATGCTCACAGCACTCTGATTTTCTTAAATCTATTTAAAGAAAAAAGTACAGGTACCGTATTTAAATGTTTCTTATGGATTTTTTATCATTTTCAATTTCCCTCAAACATTGGGGCAAACTGTTCCATAATTTTGGCACTATCGCTTCAAAAATTGTGATTGTGTAAACTCTCAAGTCTTCAGACCAAAAAAACAAAAATCATAATACTAAAATAAATTATCTTGATCTCTATGATAAACTACACTTGCAAGTCAATGCATTTAAAAAATATGGACTGAGAACCCTGATTTATTTTTCATAAAAAGATTAGTGATGTTTAAATATGAAAATATGTAGTATGTAGCCTAAAATTTGTATTATTCAAATTTATATAATGCATTTTCAAATAAATATTTGGCCTTTTTTCCCCCTAGAAAACTGACATTTTTACCTTAATGTTAATAGGCAGGCCAATTTATCTTAATTTTAAATATATTTCGTTCAAGTGTAACAAAATATATTTACACCTGACCTCTCACTGTAACTAGACTTTTGTTTCGTGTTGGTGGTATTTAATTTACTTCACTACTAACTTAAAAGACATCCATAAATAATGTTACGCATGGAGGCCGGGGGGGGGGTGTTTCACATATTTGTAAGATGTATGGGTATGAGGAGGGAGGCATGTAACAAAGCAGAACTTAATTAAAACAACTTGCACTGAACTGAAATAACTTTAATCATAATTTATTTCCACAAAAAGTTAACATTTTAATGTTTGTGTTGTTTGATAAATTATGTTGAAATAGTAGTTAGTAGATGAACTAACTATTTTCTCTCTATGTCTTGTAATTTCTTCATTTGATCATTTATCCTGTCTGCTGAGGAAGGCGAAGGCTCTTCTTACTTAATGAAGGTTACTGTTAGTATTAGTATTAGTTATTCTTAAAAGTTTTTAATTAAAACTAAAGCCAAACCAAACCTAACTGGACTGTATAGTAGTAGTATAGTACTTTTATAATTTTAATGCTAATTGTGCATGCCACATGACGTCTTATGCCTGTTTATTAAAGTTGTCGTGAATTAGGGTTCAAGGTTAGGTTTAGGCTTAGTTTAGGGTTCAGGTTAGGTTTAGAGTTTAGGGATACATTTATTTAGATTTAGTGACAGACTTAACTGGTCTTCTCATTCAACCAAGATGGCGGCCAATCATGGCATCCTCTCTCAACATTTACAGTATAATAGTTTATAGTATAGTATAATAAATAGTAACTAATACTACTAATATAAAGTATAATGTATAATTAAGTAGTCTCGTACTCGTAGGGCAGGGCCGTGCCGTTGGCCGAAGCGACACTCATCTCATACTTACACTTTATAAGGCAGTTTTGAGTCAGAAGTCAGGGTTATCTTGAATGTAACCTTGGACCTGGAATTAGAAAATAAAATTATAACTTAAATAACGAAAACGATAATGATGCAAGTATAATTTGTCGCAATATTGCACCAACCATACTCACATGTTGAGTGTTTACTTCGGTAGACACGCAATCCCGGAAATTTATTTCTTGTTAAAATATAAATTATTTAACTTTCCTTTTAGAAGAGTTCTCGTTATTAAAACCGGAGTGGCTATAGGTAATAAGGGGAGAGACTGCAATCAGGTTAGTACAAAATAAAATGAGTAAAACAGAGCAGGGTTAAACCTGAAAAAATAAACGCAACAAAACAGCGAACGTGTCGGCAGAAAGCCTTCGTCAGCGAACAAAACAACAGAAAAAACGGTATAAAAATAAAAATAAGAAATAGCACTTAGCTGGTAAGTAGCATATGAATGTACTTCTATTGCTGCCCACAGATACTACTACTACTTACCAGCTAAGTGCTATTTCTTATTTTATACCGTTTTTTCTTTTGTTTTTTTCACCGACGAAGGCTTTCTGCCGACACGTTCGCTGTTTTGTTGCGTTTATTTTTTCAGGTTTAACTCTACTCTGTTTTACTCATTTTATTTTGGCTATAGGTACCCGGGTAGCAAATGGCTATTCGGACCCCGCTGGTCACGTGACGGTTATGACGGATACTTCCTGTTGGTTTTCCATCTTACAGCCATTATTATCAATCGAGTAATGTGCCACCTTTTCAAGACTTCTTTGTGGCATTGAAGAAACACGACGAATAATTTGACGTACAGCTCAAATAAAGTAAGAATACGTTTATGTTTATAATATTATGGTATTTAGGGTATTTTTAATTCTATTTTAAATATAGTTCTATAACTATAATCATTAACATGACTTCAATCAAGGATCAAGGTCAAAGTTGCCTTTTTTTGGGGGGGGGGGGGGGGGGGCGGCAAATCAATTTAATTTCAATTTATTTGTATCATTTTATCCATTTCTATGATTTTTAAAACTAACTTTTAATAATTTGCTTAGATTTATTCAGATGTTTAAAGATTACAAAAGTATTAAACTATTATTGAATGTTATTATTATTAAGAGCCGCTTCCATTGCCCCGGTGAAGACAAAAAAATCGGCCATATTTGTTTCCTTCCGGTGATGGGGTGTTACATTTTACATGTGGAGAGCGATAACATTCTTTGGAACGATAACATTCTTTGGAACGGGTTAAATTGACTAGTTTAAAGTTGTTAGTAATCCAAAGTAGATGATATACATGAGCTGTTGGGTTTTGATTATGTATGAATGCTCCAAAGAAGTTTTTAAGACACTTTCAACTTACCTATAGTCAAAAAGTGACACAGAAAAAAAATGCAGGTTCCCCTCATTGGGTAAATTGTATGAGCGTCACCGTAAGACAAATATTTAATGTAATCGATAACAAAACACATGTATAATTAGAAAACTGTGACGTAGAATGCACAAATCTGAGTTCACCACAGACAGAGCCGATTGTGAAATGGCTACAAAAGTTTTACCGCGATTTTTCGACTGCGTAGAAGGGATGCCCGTGCGTCTTTTAAAATACCTAGTTATAGTCAACTGTAATACTGAATTTTAAATGGCATTTTTTCTTTTTATTTGATTTTTAAAGAGTCTTTAAACTTCCCCCAATCAAAGTTACAGTTACATAACCCCATTTGTTGTGTATTTTTTTTTCACCCTATGGCAGATTTTTAACCACCTATAAGTTAGTATGCTGAACGAAATTTTCAAACTGTATTTTTTTTTTTTAAGCATGTTCACAAAATGCACAAGCGCCCCCCTTCCCCACCCCCACTTTCTTTTTTTTTTCCTCTGAGAGCTCGAGAATACGGGTTGTCCCTTGAAGTCTGGGGATTAGAAGTGAATCACCGACTAAGGCAGCGGACACACGTCATCATTGTCCTGGAGTGAAGCTGAAAAAACGGGAGGGTGGGGGGGTCAACGAATATGTGCCAATGTGTGATCACGTGTCCACTTTTAAGAAAAAATATTTGTGGACATGGCAGGAAAGGGGGAAATCTGATCATTTATTGATAGCCATCTCATAGTGATGGCTGCAAATACGTTGTCCATGATTGGTCAGCTCTAATTGGAGCATCCGTCCCCTTTTTTCTTATGCAAATGCGCTTATTAATGGTGACTGATTTGCGATGAGGAAAATGAGGGTGAGGGCTAGTGATTATATAGAATAAGACAGACTCGTTTTGAGGTATTGCTGGTAGTGGGATCATTTTGTTCAAAAGGGCAGGACGACCGAGAGACAATTGAAATTGTTGATGTAACGGAAATTTTAAATGGTGCAGCATTTGGTTCATACGCGAAATTTATGATGCAACAAATAACGTTACAACAATTCAACTATGGAATTTCTCGTAAGGCGCTCGTAACAATTGCTATGTGGCTTGTAAACTGGCTACGTATGCCAAGTATGAGAGTTCCTTATAACTACCGGGATCTGGATCTCACCAGGCTTGAGATCCTACCGGGATCTGGATCTAACCAGAAATTGGATCCCATCGGATTGGGATCTCATTTGGATTGGGATACCACTGAAAACGGGATCTTACTGGGATCCCACCATGACCGGGATTCTATCGGGATCCACCATGACCGGGATTCTATCGGGATCCACCATGACCGGGATTCTACCGGAATCGGGATCCATCATGATCCTTCTGGACAATGGGGTGCCATCAGAAAGCAGGAAAAACAAAAGGTTTACATTAGTTAATCCTTGGTATTCTCAAAGAGAAAACACATTTTCTGCCACAATAGTCCAAGAATTACTTAAGATGTTATTAAAGAACAATCATAAAAACTTATACTTACCTCAAGCAAATGACTAGTACTTATTTTAGTTTGTATCAACCACCAAAGTTGATTCTGTCAGTGCATATTAATTTGTGAAACAAGATTACTAACTTGTTAAAAATGACATACTATTTTTTTGTCATATTCAGACATTCATATAATATGGGACTAAAATACATGTATAGAAACTGTAAAAATAAAAAGTGTAATAGTAAATTTTAACTGATTTAAACAAAAATTCACTTTCTTATCAGTTTATACTTATAAATGTTAAAAAATTCCACAGAAAATTCTAAAATTTACATCTAAAGAATATTATTATTAGATCTATGATTTTAGGGAAATTTAAAATAAGTGACGAGTCAGCATATTTTATACATTTTTAAAAGGAAAAAAAAATCAAGATTTTTTATACAAAATTTGCGGAATATTAACAAAGACTAACTTATATTTTGTGGCTTTATTTAGAAGTACTCTTATTTAACTATGTTTCCTGTAAATATTATATTTTTGTCTCATTTTACAATAAAGTTATAGGCGTTCAAAAAAAGTAAATTGAGGGTCACAAAATATGGAGGAAAATCCCATGGTAAAAAATTTGCCTTTGAGGTCCCTACTAAAAAATTAATAACTTTTGAACCACTTGAGCTAGAAAGTTGATCTTGGTGTTTTTGTAATCTATTCCCCAGGCTCTATACAGCTCTAGCATTTTTATATTTTTTAAAAATGTTTTGAAATTTTCATCAAAGTGCCTACTTTGGCTGCGGCTATTCTGACCTGGTATCAGAAGTGGATACTTCAATTTTAATTCACTGCAATAATTATTATAATTCACACTTCCCATAAATCAAATGTTCTTTTGAATAAAAAGCGGTAAATTCGGAGAGATCAGCCCGTGGCCGCCATCTTGGTTATCGTGACCCAAGAACTTATGTCCCTAAACCTAACCTGAACCCTAATTCTCTGCAACTTTAATAAACACGCAAATGACGTCACAGGCTGATCAATCTGAATTAGCCTAAAAAAAATTAATTTAAAAATTATTATACATTATTTCACATTTCCTTTAAAACACTTCACACTTCCAATGAAACATATGTTATTTTGAATAAAAACATACTTACTTCTTTAAAGGTCCTCCGCTACTGTGGTGGCCAAAATTGAACAATATCGTCTAGAATGGCGTTGAAGACATAAAAACCATTTACTTTAACACTTTGACGCCGCATGAACTCACACAAATATGAATCGAGCATATGTCTGTGTGTGCACCATTGTGGCGCTTGTTTCTCTTTTTTGCCGATTTCCACAAAAATTTTATGCTTAAGGTATTGGCAATTGGCACCTAAGTTCGGATCCAAAAAGTTAACAGAATGAATGACCCGTTTACCGATTGAGTCAATCCCGGAGTGATGACAATTGCATAATATGCTCTCCAATGATCTGACATGACTGTTGTGCCCAGCAGGATGTGTGCTGTGATTATCGGCATAAGTGTAGCTGCTGATCTATCTTGTACACAAAACATGAAACACTCACTAATCTCCAGACAAATGCCTCCAAAGACCCATTGTTGTGGCAAAACTCGTCCGACGTGATTTTTTTCTGTGTGTAAACAGACTCGTTGATTTCAACTGAGAATAAACATGACTTACCGGTGTAAATTGTGTGAATTTTTTGATGGATGAAGCATGAATGGATCCTAACACATGTGTTTTGGGAAATAAGGCCATGGGAGGCCATTCAGACACCCCTGGCATAGAGACCTACTCCTTTTCCTGCCCTCGGGGTACTTTTCGGTTGCTACAGACAGAGCGGTCCTTTTCATCATTGTGCATCCAATTATGGTTTATTTGAGCTGGGTGTTACTGAGAAAATTGTCTGCATACTTATTAGTTTTTATTATTATTCTCTCACAAACATTTTAATGAGGTAGTGTGTAAAAATTAGCACAAGTACTCAACTGGGGTGCTTATCCCATGAGGCATATTTATAGGCTCCATTTTTTCTAAAAATTCATAGGGTTCATCTATCCAATTCAGAACCCCTAATACAAATCCAAGGATTCACAATATTATCGTAAACATAATCATTTTGATTGTCTTCATTACTCGTTAGTGTCAGATTCACTGCTAGACAGCAAGATATCAAGAGGGTTATGTCCCAAGAGGGTTAACGAAAAAGCTCTCTGGTGACCAGCTCACCTACCAGCAATGCTGCTGGAGCAATGCTGCTGGTACATGAATTTCAAATATCCTAGTCCAGATTTTCCCAAGCGTTTTGGAGTCACAGCACCATTGCTGCTCCCACGTCTTTTCAATTTTGCTCTATGCCACATTCTGTGTGCACTGTAAAATAGCACTTTTTAAACAATCTAATCCATTTTTGAAACCTTATTCTTGTACAAGAAGAAATACCTCAATAACTTCACTTAACTCTATAAAAACAATATTTAATTGATACAGCATAAACGCTGCACAAAACCAACTGCTACTTTAATAAGTACACAGAGTACCA